ATAAGTCGAGTCTGGGGATTCTTGGCGTCGATATATCTAGCGACGTCCAGTTTTGCGGTCATCTGGAGGAAAAAGCTAAGATAGCTTCCAAAAAGTTGGGGGTGCTCAATAGGGTGAGACGGTATTTCACGCCAGAAAACCGCCTGAAACTGTATAAAGCTCAAGTGAGGCCACACATGGAATACTGTTCTCACCTGTGGGCAGGAGCGCCACAGTACCAACTCCTTCCGTTAGACCGCATTCAAAGTCGGGCAGCTCGAATTGTTGACGATCGGCGTCTTACTGTCCGGCTCGACCCACTGAAACTGCGTAGAGATGTTGCATCTCTGTGCATCTTCTACCGAATTTATCATGGGGAGTGCTCTGAAGAATTGTTCGGATTGATACCTGCTGCAGATTTTCACCATCGTACAACCCGCCATAAACTAAAATTTCATCCCAACCATCTGGACGAGTGGCGGTCCTCCACCGTGCGTTTTTCAAGGCACTTTCTTCCACGCACAACCACTCTTTGGAATCAACTTCCAGCAGCAGTATTTCCGAACCGATACGACAACATAACCTTCAAGAAAAGAGCATATTCCTTTTTAAAAGGCCGGCAGCACACCTGCAATGCCGTAGGTGTTGTGGGTGACCATGGGCGGCGGTAGTCACTTACCATCAGGTGAGCCGCATGCTCGTTTGCCCCCTGAGTTGTAAAAAAAAAAAAAAAAAAAAAAAAAAAAAGTAAATATGCCCCGATCAAGCAGACGAAGTCGCGGGCGAAAGACAGTTTATTAATACTTTAATAAATTTAAAACTGTTATTAAAAAGCACACTTGTTGAACAAAGCCTATTTACACACTAAACGAATACTTGAATGACAAACGTGCACGGTGTTAGTCGATCATGTATGGGCTTTTAACGACCATGTAATTTTAGACATAATACATTTAAATAAATACACATAATGTTAACAGAGATTTAAAAGAGTAACTGTTGAGTTTTTTTGCGGACTCTTCTCAACAAATAACCTTCCGAATCCTACCGTAGATTAAAAAGAAAAATGACGATTTAAAAGTGCTTGTAAACAAGTCTATTCGAAAAAAAATAATTAGAATTAAAAAAAAAAAGAAAATTAATGATGCTAATTTGACTCACGTACAAGGTTCATTTTAGCACACTTCTAAATTTAAATTTATTTCCGCACTAAGCCTCTCGTTTGGACCGTTGTGCGTATAAGTCGTGGCTAGTTCAGCCTGCCAGGGGGGAAAGGATTGTTATTAATCGGGAGGTTATTCCTCATTGCTGTCAATATACCATAACAGGTAGACCTCCACGCAGTTTCCCCTAGAAACCACCGTGACTAATTTATCGTTGAATTCGTTACGATGGGTTAAATGACCCGCTTTCTCCTATCATCCCTCATTGGTGCCCCTCCAGTGTATACCGATAGCGTAGGCGAGGTTACCATTCCATTACAAAAAGTACAGCCAGCCCAGCTCTGCCCAAAGGCACAGAAGCTTCCTGGTTCCTGGTATCTCACAGGCCTCACGGCCGACCCCATTGTTCCGATAATTTCTGAACGTCGAGGGTCCATAGCCTCACATTGCAGGATTACGTGAGCAGCCGTATCTTCGGAGTCAAAACAGCCTCGAATATAGAGGGCTGTCTGTGGCCCCTATTGTGTATAAATGTTTAAAGGACAAATGCTCGTTATTTTCCGTATCATTTTAACGTTTATCCTATCTAATTTTTTTTTAAATCACTGAGGTGGCAAATATGCATACGGCCCACTTGAGTAAGTGGTTACCGTCACCTATGACCGCCTGCAATACTAGGGGCATAACGCGTGCGTTGCTGACCCTGAAGAAACCTTTTTAAACCTTTTTTGAAGAAATTACGACAGGAAGCTCATTCCATAACCCGAACATCTCTGAAATCGCACTGTACGCGACCATCCAGGCTTTTAAAGTATAGGAGGTGAACTCCCCGTCGATGGCGAGTTGTACGATGATAAAAGGAAGGTCGTGCATCCTATTTCCTATTGAACAATTCCTCTGAGCACAGTCCGTTGTACAAGCAGTAGAACACAGAGTAAAGTCTAAATAGATACATACATACATATCTAACTTATTTTCTTTCATTATAATATCGTTGACGTGTTACAAACGCACGTGACATTCGTCACAGACACTGCTGCATAAGATTTCCATTTCAGTATGGAATGACGACAAACACTATTGTATTTTAATCATACATTCATTGAAATAGGTAACTATGCTTTCGGGAGAAATACAATTTTAAAACAGTGATTTTTCTGTAACTTACAATGCAGCAAACAATATAACAGCCCATCTGATAGAAAGTGTCAATCTTCAAAGTATAAAAATAGACTTTCTTTTGGACAAGTTTTTTAAACCGACTTCAAAAAGAAAGAATTTTAAAAGAATAATTCATAATAATTAGACTAATGCTGCATTTACACATATGCAAATGCAGGGTAAATCACTAATTATATCATCACCATTATATCAGCCTTTAACTGTCCAACGCTGATCATGACCTTCGACCACAATGAGGATTTTGCCCGTAGTTGCCACAATGGGCAAGCAGGTTGGCAACCACAGTTAAATTTTGGTGATATTTAAAAAGAAGGCCACTACTGGTTATCATTCTATCATTAAATTTCCTTAGTCACTTTACAACACCCACGGGGAAGAGGTTTTTTGATGGGTGAAAATGGTACAGCCTGCGCTAACAGGATATGCTGGCAGAGAACTAGTGAAGAGTGATAGATGAGAATGAAAACAGCCCATCACGATGAATCCATCAGGAATTAACCATGATAGTTTCCAGGGGGAACTGCAAGGAGGTCGACCTGGTTGGGTATATTGCTAGCAATGGGATTCTCAGTCTCCATTACTAACAATCCCTCTCCCTCACGGGGAAGAGGTGGCACATTCTATGCCGAGACCACATGACCCAATGACTAGTTATATGTACATTATAAATAAATAGGTCAAAGAGATTAAACCATTTCAAACATTATCAGTGTCCTATATATATTTATCAGAGGACTTCTGTTATATTTATATATAATATATATAATCATTATATTGATAAAATATATGTATATGCAAATTATTACTGGAAAACTCCAGATATGAGTGGAAGGCGTTGTTAGAAATGGTAATATTATTTATTTATTTATTTGATCAACTAGTCAGCTTCATACAATAGCTTTCCGAATACTCTCACAGAGTAAAGCATCAGTACAATAACACATACTTTACAATTATAATTAAAACAAATCATATTAATAAGATAAAAATCCCATACAACCAAATTACAATAATAATAATAACATGTATATCTTAAATATCTGAACATCAACATGCTGTGGTCATTTAAAGAAACTCTAGAGGGAGACTTTGTACAAAAGTCGATTGCTTGGGTACCTCTGTCCCATTCGTGTTCCTACCGTAAAGCAGTTGTGTTTGCATGGCTGTGTTTCGGTTTGAAGGGTAGGATATAACGTGAATTTACAGGGTACAGGGGAATAACACCTGAGTCCTCAGGAATGCCAACATATGGGGGGTATCATGGGCGAAACAGTATACTCTAATTTTTTTAAATTTCAACTTTGATTAACAAAGTTTTAATTTCAATCAGTCAGCACCGCTAGTAATATATCTTGTCAGATCCACCTCAAAGTGATAGCCACTGGAAATAGTCCTTGTTAATTCTTGATGAATTCATCACAGTGACTGAACTAGTCATCAATCATCATAAATCATCCCTCACTAGTGTCCTGCCAGTGTATACCAATATCACAAGAGAGATTAACCCCCCCCCCCCCCAAGATAAAAGATATCACAGGATAATCATTCCATTTTGACCCATTTAAAAAATTTCATCTATGGACTGGTCATATGTTCTTGATCTTATACAGGGCTCAATTAAATGAAAAAAAAAAAAGCCTAAAAACCTACTCCGACTAAATTTAGATATTGAGTTCCAGCATAAGAGATATGTTGCAATATTGAAAAAATAAAACTTTTTTATAACTATAAAATACTTATAAAAATAATTTTATTGATTTTTTTTTTTTTGTTATAACTTGTATATTTCTCAATATTTTGAGATTCTGTACAATGACATTGATCAATATTGTGATTATCCCAGATTATTCTCTGTTCACTTGTAATATTATAATTTAATAATTTACTTGTAATATTTATTAATTATCATTTTTATGATCTAGTGTTATGGTTCCATATTCAATAACTTGACTATTCTACTTTAAAATTGGAATCAAATATTATGCAACAATCAAACAGGTATGGACATGTTCATGATCAGTTTGAAAACTTTAAATTACAAATTACACTATGTAAAATAAAAACGTTTTACTATAATAGGAACTACATTAGATTAGAATTACGAATCTGACATATGGATTAATAATAAAGTATTTGATATTTCACGACAAAATTGTCCCCACAAAGGAAGCAACAGCCAATAAGAATGTTGAACTTTCAACATTTTTTGTTCGTCGGAACACAGTTTCACGTACTTAAAAGGCGTATGAGAGATTGATTATGCAAATATAACCATGCAAACGAGAAATTCGCTAAGATGACACTGGTTGACCTATAAACGGATTCAAGCTAGTAAATTAAGGTTATGTTACTAAAAAAATAATTTCGCTACAAAGGACAGTCTAAAATATAAATCTAATAAGTAAAACTGCCATTTCTCACTTACCCGGATGCTTCCGTGGTGGTTTTTGTCGTTAAAAACAACCTTATAATTTGGGAATTTTTATTTTACACTTCGTAAGAGAAATTCAAAGAGCACTTGACAGTACACTGATTGTATACAAAAAAAAGATGGCCGAAAGCGCTGAATTACGTCATGCGCGGGAAAATCGAAACGACAATTTCACTTAATTTTTATTTTTTTTACACAATAACAAAGTACAAATAGTGGATATTTATATATAAATATTAACTTACCTCATAAAGTTTATTAACTGTGAAAATGATGGGTAGTTTCCAATTAGTTATGCTAATACATCAGAATCTTCTAGTTCACTCCAACTCTGCGCGCTGTTGCCAAATCGGTATTGCGTCAGAAACTGAATATTGTTCAAATTCAAACATTTCAAACAAATGGCGCATATCTTACAGTTTGTTTTACTTAAATTTTATGACGGAATCGATTTAGAAAGAAACTTTTCTTTAACAAATTAAAATAACTATATTTTTCTGTTATTAGAAAACTTCGCCGTAAGAGCGGCAACGTCGCTTCACTTTTCACAGTTTCAGAACAAAGACCTATCAATTAAAATATTATAAATTAATGTACTTGAATCACGCAATATTTTCTAAACTAAGTACTATGGTACTTAATATACTTTTAGAAAGAAGAAATAATTTAATTAAAAACTGGAGAAAATTTTCTACTTCTGTAGCCAGTAAGATTTAAACTTGTTTTTGTTTCACTCAACTTCACCGTTGGGATTGTAAACAAAAACTTAGTGTTGCTAATTTAGAAAAATAAAATCATACTATATAGAAAAAAAAAACTAGTAGGAATTTTCGTGACAATAAATTATTTTATTTATTTAATGATTTTTGTACTTTCATAATTAAATAAAAAAACCTCCTATATCAAGTAGGATTAGTAGATTAAAACTCGCCTCTGACAAAAGAAGATAGACTGGTGCCCTGTATTTTATTTTCAGACTATAACAGCCTATAAATGTTAGTAACAAATCTTTACAAATTATGTGAGTAGCATCATAGTGATTTAATATAGTGCGGCTATTTAGCCAACCATAAGTTTACCCTTTCACACGCAAAACGTACAATTGAGTGAACTGCCGAAAATCGACGCGTCTTCCGTTGTGTATTTCTTAATTTTTTTACGCATAGTTGTAAAAATCAGCATTAAAAATGTATAAAAATAGACCCCTGCAGCATCCGCAAATAAGCTAAAGGCACTACAGAAGCAACGGAACCTAAACAAGACCCCGAAGGTTTTATTGTACTTACCTCTCAAGGCACTATTCGATCCCAGCGTAAAGCCCGTCTACAGAGCACAGATATAAAAACTCTGACAACACACGTATAAGCATGTTTTACTTCAATCGTACACCACGTGAATCTATGAATTTACATATTGGCACGAAGTGACAGCGCCCTACGCTCCCTCACAATATTATGCTCATCCCGACGTGATCTATTACAATGTGACCAACATATTTAAACTGCTCAACACTGTGCTTAATAGTTTAAATTTCTTTATCTTCTTCTATCACTAAGAGCTATAAAAAAAATTCTCGGGCCCAACGTTTTAAATTTACTTTAAAATGATTTAAGGATTAATTTATTAAGATTACTAAAACGAATAAAGTTAGGAAATAACAATGGTCATACCTACTCCTTTTCAACATACACACTTGATGTTAAGCTTTTACCATAGCCTATGAACGCTTGCCGCCAGAGGCATTATGCGCGCGTTGCCGACCCTGAAAAAACCTCGTTATCCCTTTTTTGAAGGATCCCATGCTGTAGTCTCTTGGAAAAATTTCGACCGGGAACTAAGTCCATACCTGAAGAGTTCGTGGGAGGAAACATTTCTAAACCGCGCTGTACGTGATCATATAACTAGGCTCTAAGATATGCGGGAGAAGTCACTGTTAATGGCGAGTTGAAGGATGGTAGAAAGTGGCTATGGCCATCGTATTAAACAATTCCTCTGAATACAGTCTGTTGTACAAGCAGTGGAATCATTCTAATAATCTAGTCTATAAACTAGAAAAATGAAAAACGGAATTTTGGGATTTAACATTTATTCACTTGCAATTTATTTACACTAAAAATTTAAACAACCAGTGCGAAATGTATAAACATTGCCTAAGTTTAAGAGGGCTTTTTTTTTTAATATAATGCTAATTATTCAGGGCGTTGCTCTAAATGATAAATTTCATATAATAAACTACAAGTGCTAAATAATATATTTAAAAAACTACTAAACTTAATATTCTATGACATACTGGCAACTATTACATGCAAATATTGCTTCGCCCGCGAGATTTAAAAATCTCGAACATGAATATTGCAATAGTAAAAAAAATATACGATTGAAAAGTGCTTGATTATTACAAAATAAAAGTATTCTAAAATTGTATTCTATTTACATTTTTTTTTATAATTACATAGTGTAATTTAATTGCTGTACTGTTTAGGTGTAAAAAATACATAACAGTTTATATATTTTAAAATATGGAGCACCCTTTTAAATTAACTATTATTTTAATGGGCGATAATGGTATCCCCACCTGCGCAATCGGTATACGCTGGTATGGCACCAGTGAGAGATGATAGATGAAGGTAAAAGCAAGTTAGTTAACCCATTGTAACGGATTTCACAAGAATTAATCAAGATAGTTTACAGGGGAAAATGCATGGAGATCGACCTGATATTGGTAACAATATAACCCATATCAAATTTAATTAAAGGATTATTAATAATGCCGACTACCAATTCTATTGCTACCAATATACGTCATCAGGTCAACCTCCAAATGGTCTTCACGTGGAAACCTTCGCGCTGAATTACGTGTATTCATCACGGTGGGCTAATTGACCTGCCTTTTCATCCTCACCTAATCAGCCCTTATAGGTGCCCCGTCAGCGTACACCGTTAGCGCAGGAGTTTCCATTCCATTATCATATGTTACACACTTAGGTATTATGTTATTTATTTTAGCACATAATTAAATTATCAAACTATTGTGATGTATATAAATATGGCCACTGACCACTTCTGTCCGTTTCTCCGTTTACTTCTTCTAAACCACGTAACGTTATTTAGACCTTTTCCTGAAGGTTTCTATTATATCCTTAAACTTTTAACACAAGTAGACAAATTCAAAAAAATTTAATGAAAACAGAAATTTAAATTTTCGCGTTGTTTACACATATTTTAAATACACTAACCTCGACTTAATGCAATTAAACATTTTTGCAGGTAAACAGTACCATACCTGCATCTTTTTTGCCATCGTGACCACGTCGTGGTACAATCCACGTCGATCGTGTTAAGTCCAGATAGTGTATTTTAAATATAGTCTAATCAAGTCGCCAAAAAGGAAAAATATTTCCATGGCTTATAAGTACAGTTAGCATGTAGACAACCAACCTATTTCAAAGTATACTGTTTCGCCGATGATACCCCCCATGCGTTGCCATTCCTGAGGACTCAGGTGTTATTCCTCTGTACCCAGTTATTTATTTTAAACTACTGAGGTGGCAAACAAGCATACGGCCCACCTGATGGTAAGTGGTTACCGTAGCCTATGAACGCCTGCAATATCAGAGGTATTACGCGTGCGTTGCCGACCCTGAAGAAACCTATTTACCCCCCTTTTGAAGAACTCCATGCTGAAGTCTCTTGGGAAAACCTCGGCAGTGAGCTCATTCCACAACCTGCGTGTTCGTGGGAGGAAACATCTCTGAAACCGCACAGTACGGGACCATTGAGGCTGTAGGACATGAGGATGATGTATAATGAATACAAAGTCGATTGCTTGGGTACCTCTGTTCCATTCGTGTTTCAACCGTGAAGCAGTTGTGTTTGCATGGCTGTGTTTCGGTTTGGAGGGTGGGTTATGGCAGTGAATTTACACAGTACACAGGAATAACACCCGAGTCCTCAGGAATGGCAATGCATGGGAGGTATCATGGCCGAAACAGTATACTTTGTTATGTCCACGGTACTGCACATGTCTATAGGCGACGGTTGCCACTTTCCATCAGGTGGGTCGTCAACTTGTTTGCCATTCTAAGTTGCATAAAAAAACAATTGCAATCAAATTGAGAACCTCCTTTCTTGAAGTCGGTTAAATAGTGCTGCGATCATGTATGGACTGTACCAATGAAGTACAGGTCATATATTCATTCATTCTTGGGGACCAGTTTGAAGAAACTCTGTATAGAAGTTTGTTTCAGATTGTCCGGCGACTTTTCTAGCTTTACGTATTTCCTCTTGATAGGCGTTACATCACGTGCTGGCTTCTCTAACACATCTTTAGACGATCCCTCGTTATATTTTAAAACATACTGTTTCAAACTCTTTGGAGAAGACAAGTCCTTTTTTCTTTTTTGCGAATCGGTTATTTTCAATTTAAGTTGCCTTTCCCGCCATCGAATCTTGACTTTTATATTTTTATCTTTAATAGACAAATTCGTTGACTTTTTCCTTTTTTTCTTGCGTCTCTTTGAGGCCAGTGACAATTTCAAATTACTGTCATTATTCGACAACTCTATCTCTGTGTCGGGCTCGCATTTAACGTTACACTCAACATATTTATTTTTCGACACCTTTTTTCTTTTCCCGCTCTTTTTCATATCGGTAAATTTCCGTTTCCTGTTCGCTTCAATGGCGAAGTCTATGGGCGTTTTCAATTTCTTGCCAGTATTCACTCCCTCAGAATGATTATGTTTGAATTTACATTTAAAATCTCGAACGACTTCATTCAAATATTGATTCTTAAAGCTCTCCACGTCAATATCGACATTTTCCGATTCTAATGTCTCTTTATCTAGCGGACTAAATTTAAACGCGCACTTCTTGGACTTATTAGGACTTTTTATGTTTAATTGCTTAATAAAATCCACGTTCGGACTGGTTTGCTCCATTTGAACTACATTTATGTTGACTACTTCGTTGTTTTCAGATATTTCTAGGCTGGAATCCTTTTTTATATCAACAGTTTTTAATTTGGGCGTGTCTATTATTGGTAAACTGTCGTCGCTGTGGTCTGCTATAAATTCAGGTGGCAATTGGAAGGTGGAACTCGAGGATTCGTCGACATCTATGCACTCCGTTTTAATTGGTGTTACAATACAACAATCTTGTGTCTCTTCATCGACGGAAATAGGCGAAGACAACTTCTTTGGTGTAGTTTTCGATGTTTTTAGCGGACTGTTATACTGAGATTTCGAGGGTGGGATATTTTCTTGTTCCTGAGAAACAAATGATGTATTAAATGTAATTTAACATATTCTTTTGGGGAAACACACTGTCCTTGTTTATAAAACTTAGAATAAGGGGGTGAGCAATATATACCAATATGTATATATTTTAGCTACAATATCTATACACTAGTCCAATAACGAATTTGTTAATAGTCTATAATATATATATATATATATATATATATATATATATATATATATATATATATATATATATATATATATATATATATATTTTTAGATTTTTAACAACTTATCATTCCTCACTGGTGAGGCACCAGTGTTATACCGATAGCATTTGTTAAAATAAAAAATAAAAATAAGAAATTACCTCATTTTCACATTTGATCTCTGTCAGCTTCTTCGGTGAGCACCATTCTTTAACTGGCTCCTTGTTTTTCGGAGATTCCTTCGTTGATGCGTTCAAGAAATTCTCTATAATATCCCTGTAACAATATATATTTACTTGTTAATTTTGTTGGCAACACCTGCCAACAATTATTTATTATATTGGCAACACTGGTAAGGCGGGATCTTTTCCCGCCATTTTTGTTGTATTGATCGTTCAACCTCTAATAAAAATAATAAGTACATTATTGAGGAGTTTGTGCCACACCATGCAGCCAATCTCATCATCATCATATCAGCTGTAAACTATCCACTGTTGGGGCTTAGGCTTCCCCATAAGGGGGATTTTGCCAGTAGTTGCCACGCTTGGCAGGCGGGTTGACAACCGCAGTCAGATTTTGGTGACGTTTTAAGAGGTTTTAAGAGGACACTGCTGCCCATTTCTCGCCCATTAAGTTCCCTTAGTATGTAAATGTTATAATAGGATATCGAAGGATATTTAAGAACAACTTTTTAATAAATTTAAATCTAATTAAAAAATATTTATTGAACAAATACTAAACAATTACTTGAATGGCAAACGTGCATGGTGTTAGTCGATCATGCACGGGCATTTAACAACCATGTAATTTTAGGCATAGTACATTTAAATAAATACACAATGTCAACAGAGATTTAAAAGAGTAACTGTTGAGTTTCTTGTGGACTCTTCTCAACAGATAGCACCATTCCGAACCCTGCAGTAGTTTAAAAAAGAAAATTATTTTACATTTTTCATTACAAGATTTTTAATTTAAAAATAAAAAAGCTATAATATACTAACGTAACAATCCTTTTCTTCACACACAACGGCTTCGGTTTCTTAAAGTTCCGTCTCACTTTCTCCAGCAGTTTCGCGTCTATTGCTATCTCGCTCTGATGCGTCACCTCTATGATGCTGTGCTCGAGCAGCTTCCCGGGTGATTTGATGTCAATGTTCCTGAGGACGGTGGCCTCGACTAGCGGCCGCCTGGGCGGTTTCAGGTTCAATTGCTGACGGCTTGACACTGTATTCCAGTCTATGGACAATTAATATTTTCATTAAGTGGATGTAATAAATAAATAAATATTATAAATGTAAAAGTGTGTTTGTTTGTTTGTTTATTGCATTATAGCTTAACCCTTTTTTGCATATTGGTGGAAATTTCCATAATAACATTTAATGCCCAAAAATTTCACTTTAAGTTGATCGTGTCTAGATACCTTTTTAATGTCCATCGCAGAAAAAAAAACATAGCTGTAAATTTTTTTTTTTAACATGAATTATATCACATTGATTTATTTCACCAATAAAAAAATCATGATATATATAGGGTACTTTTTATCCTAGTCAGGAAATATCTCCCGGTCACACGGACAAAATCGCGGGTAAAAGCTGTTTCTGAGGACTCAGGTGTTTTTTTTTTTTTTATGTGTGAAAACGGTATGGTAACCCCGCCTGCGCTAACGGGATACGCTGGCGGAGCACCAGTGAAGGGTGATAGATGAGAATGAAAACAGGCCAGTTAGCCCATCATGATGAACTCATCAGGAATTAACCATGATAGTTTCCAGGGAGAACCGCAAGGAGATCGACCTGGTTGTGTATATTGCTAGCAATGGGATTCTCAGTTTCCATTACTAACAATCCCTTTCCACCCAGGACTCAGGTGTTATACCTCTGTACCCTGTAAATTCACTGCAAATTAAAACCTTTCTCTTTATAATATTAATATAGATAAATACAAAGTTATGTTTTAGTTTAGTTGCACCCGCGCGAAGCCGGGGCGAGCGGCTAGTCTATATGATATGTACTTGAAATAATAATAAAAAAAAATACCTTTCTCATCCTTCTCAGTTTTAATTTGAATGCAATCTTGCGATGTAGAAGAACTGCTTGCTCTGAAAAAATAACAAGGAAGACTGTACAAAAGTCTACTTGGGTACTAATGTCCCGCTCTTGCTTTTGCTACCAAGAAACTGGGCTTTTGCATGGCTCTTTCGGTTTAAAGGGTAGAATATGGATAGATATAGAAAATATCTTTCAAAAAGGGTGTATTAAGGTCTCTAGGGTCAATGACAGCGTGACGTCCTTGGCGTTACAGGCGTCCATAGACTGCGGTAACTTCGTTCACCATCAGACGAGCCATAAGCTTGTTTACTACTATAGTGATGGGGGGGGGGGGGGGAGGGTTTTGTTAGTGATGTGTTCTAACAGCCCCATTACGGGGGGAAAGGGATTGTTAGCAATGGAGTTCGTCATTGCTAGCAATATGCCCTATCAGGTCGACCTCCACGTGGTTCCCCCTAGAAACCATCGTGAACAATTCTTGTTGAATCCATCACGATGGGCTAATTGACCTGCTTCATCCTCATCTATCATCCCTCACTGGTGCCCCGCCGGTGTATACCAATAGCGCGGGCGGGGTTACCATTCCATTATAACCCATTAAAAAAGAAAACAGCCCCATTGCTAGCAACACAGGAAGTGTCGATAGTTTCTAAGGAGAGCCACATGGAGATCGACCTGAGCAGATATATAGCTTGCTTGTCCCCGCCTCTATAGGCGACGGTTACACTGTTCCATGCACTAAAAGACTTGAAAACAACAACTTATAATAGTTGTCACAAGCTTTATTATTTTAATAATTCAAAGGAATCGAAAGATCATCGACACACGATCCGCCATCTTGTGACGGCGGCCATTTTGATAACATTACAGTATTGAATTATTGCATATTGTATTGTGACCAGAACTAAAGACACATAATAAACATAACAACCTCATTTAGATACAGATGTTTAAGCTGATCCAAATTTACAAATGAAGTCGTACTTACTTTTATTATTATTACATGTATATTACCATAGCTAATAACGCAACTTTTAAAATATTTGTACTCTAGTATTATTTAATTTGGTACAAAGGGAGATTTTGTACAAAAGTCGATTGCTTGGGTACCTCTGTCCCATTCGTGTTTCAACCGTGAAGCAGTTGTGTTTGTATGGCTGTGTTTCGGTTTGAAGGGTGGGATACGGCGTGAATTTACAGGCTACAGAGGAATAACACCTGAGTCCTCAGGAATGGCAACGCATGGGGGGTACCATGGGCGAAACAGTATACTCTGTTATGTACATGGTACTGCTCATGCCTATAGGCGCAGTTACCACTTTCCATCAGGTGGGCCGTCAGCTTGTTTGCCATTCTAAGTTGTATAAAAAAAAAACTTCATTTCATACTGTATAATTATGTTAAAGAAAATATTTTATTGTATTTAATTTTTGTTATATCACTACATAGTGTAAAACAAAGTCGCTGTCGCTGTCTGTCCGTCCCTATGTATGCTTAAATCTTTAAAACTACGCAACGGATTTTGAAGCGGTTTTTTTAGATAGATAGAGTGATTCAAGAGGAAGGTTTATATGTATAATACATGCATAATATTGTAGAGAAACATTGATAATTTTAAAGGTTTCTAACGTGATGTAATGTAATGTGCACCCGTGCGAAGCCGGGGCGAGTCGTATACATTATAATGCAATATGCTGCTGGTGTTCCTTTAAATAAATAAATACTGTAAATTACATATATACAAAATTTAAACACAATCGGATATCAAGAAGTGGTTCTAATTTATCTAAACAAAATAAAATTTGAGCTAAACAAACAAACATTGCAATTTCAATAAAAGTTTGTAATAAAAAAAAGAAAACGTAAAGCTGTATGTACTCACGCGTGCGCCTTGGTCCGCCTGAGCGACATCCGCGCGCGCATCAGAGGCCGCGCGGCTTGCGCCGGCGCACGCTCCGCCTGTATCACTGGAAATCAATAAAAACTTCAATGTCAGAGGAAGAACACCTGAGTCCTCAGGAATGGCAACGCATGGGGGGTATCGTGAGCGAAACAGTATACTCTGTTATGTCCATAGTACCGCTCATGTCTATAGGCGACGGTTACCACTTTCTATCAGATGGGCCGCAAGCTTGATCGCCATTCTAAGTTGCATAATAAAAAAAAAAAGTGACGGAGTTATGAGGTAACAAACATTGTAAAAAAATCCAACAGAATCTAAAACCTCCTTCTTTTTAAAGTCGGTTGAAAATAATAATAATAATAATTTATTTATTTGCTCGAAATATGGTAATAATAAAGGTCTTAAATATAATAGATCTACACATTTCGCCTTATCTTAAGGCATGCAAATTTAGTATTATAATTTAGTGGCTTACGTATATTAATAGCCTAGTAGGAGTCAATCCATAAATATTGGCAGCCGCACACATACCAATATACAAAAAACAAATACATAACAAGTCAAAAACTACAAATAGCATACAACACAATATTAATTTTAGACATAGGTTTAGAGAATGATACCTCGGAATTGACCAGAATTGTGAATGTATACTAATTATAAACAAAAATTACCTGCTTCAATACTGTTGGCCAACGTTTCTAGATCTTCAGGCGCGGCAGGCCGGCACACGCGGCACACGTAGTGCTCTGGATGGACACCACAGACCATAGAACCCTCAGTAAAATTCCCAGAGGCACTAGCGGATCCACCAGGGCCTCTATTTGATTCACCAGTGCTTCTATTAGAATAAACAGTGCCTGGAGGAGAGTCGTCAGTGCTATTAGTGGAGTCCCCTGTACTCCCAGAAGAGTCCTCACCGCTAGATTCAGAGTCCATGGTAAGACAATGCAGATGGATGCCACTGCTACCGCATAGGATGCATAGCTTTATATCCCAGGGTCTGGAAAACAAATATTACCTTATGGGATTACATTTATAAGGTGAAATTGAATTTAGTGTAAATTACTTACTATTGCTACTAGAACAACCTACACTAGATGAAGTGACGACATCAAATGTATTTTTTTTTTAACGAATGATAATGGTATGGTAACCCCGTCTGCGCTATCGGTATACACTGACGGAGTACCAGTGATAGATGACTGATGAGGATGAAAGCCAGTTAGCCCATCATGACGAATTCAACTAGAATTAGCCACGATGGTTTCCAGGGGGAACCACATGGAGATCGACCTGACAGGGTATATTGCCAGTAATGGGGCTACTAATCCCCATTACTAACAATCCCTTCTCCTTCCCCCCCTCAAATGCATTGCAGGGAGTGGATGCAGGTGGCTCAGGACCATTCCTTATGGCAGTCTATGGGGGAGGCCTATGCCCAGCAGTAAAGGGATAATGGGAGAAATAATGATTATTGCTACTTGTGAAAAGTGGCGAAGTCCCCCTTATGGGGAAGGTTTACGTTCAACAGAGGACAGTTAATGACTGAGAGAGAATAATGATTGCCACTCGATCCAATGATGGTTACGGCCATTTCTACCATTGTACAGATCTCCACCTGCAACATACCATCTAAGCTTGACTTCAGCTATAAAAGAAGGAAATTCAAATACATTTAAAGCTGACAACAACTCACCCGTCACCGTCGTGGCGGCGGCCGCGCGGGCACTGGCACCAGATGGCGTCGCAGGCGGCCTCCCGTTCGTATATCTCCGCGAACGCGTTCTGCTCCAGTTCCCACGCTGCGTCCCTGCGGTCATCGTCATCATTAATTAGCATTATTAAGTTTTTTATAGATGACAATGGAATGGCAACCCTGCCTACGTGGGGAGAGATGAGATAGTTAGTAATTGGGATTAGAAGCCCTCTTGCTTCCAATATACTATATCAGGTCGACCTCCTCGTGGTTCCCCCTGGAAACCATCGTGATTGATTTATTGTTACATTCGTCACGGTGGGCTAACTGACCTGCTTCATTCTCACCTATCATCCCTGGTGCCCCGCCAGCGTATACCGATAGCGCAGGCGGGGTTACCATTCCATTATCGTCCATTAAAAAAAAAACCTGCCTACGTTATCGGTATACGCTGGAGGGAAACCAATGATGGATGATAGGGGAATTTGAAGATCAGTTTAATCATCATGACGAATTCCATATAAATTAACCAAGAGGGTTTCTGTTGTAAATAGCAGGATGCAGCAATAAAACATATGTATTTGAGATATAAAATAAAAAGTTTAGTGAAAAAAAAAATACGAGACATGTCTTATAAAAATCTGACATAGAACAAACTTAAAAATAATACATTGTTCTAAAAAACCTCAGTGTCAACAGCCAGTATTAAAACTTCAACAGTTTCCAGGAGTACCACATATGATAAATTATTATAATTGAAAATTTTTATTTTGAAGGCAAAGAAGTATTAGAAGATTCTCGATTTAGATTCAGATTCTTTATTTGAATTAAACATGGTTACATTAGATGGTCAGTTGTGTATATTTCAAGCTACACATTTCACCGAAATACTGGTATGCAAAATTTATTAAAATACTATAATTTAAAAAAAAATAAATCCGAAATCCAATGAAAATTCTTAAATAATTTTTGAAAATTAACACATATTGGCTTTTAACATTTCAGAAAGAAAGAAAAATTATTTAGTAACATATGTAATTACAAAACAAGTTCTAGTCACTAAAAGGGGGGGGGGGGAAGGGATTGTTAGTAATGGGGTCTAATGAACCCATTGCTAGCAATACACTATCAGGTCGACCTCCACGTGGTTCCCCCTGGAAACCATCGTGAAAAATTCTTGTTGAATTCGTCACAATGGGTTAACTGACCTACTTCATCCTCACCTATCATCCTTCACTGGTGCCCCGCTGGTGTATACCGATAGCTTACTCGGCAAGTGTCGGTAGTCGTTACGGGTAATCAACATAGTAAAACATACTAAAAGATTTTATAATAAACTGCCGGAATCTGCATTAAATCTGACAGAGAGGCAATTCAAATCTTATATTAAACAATTTTTATGTAAGAAAGCCTATTACAGGATAGACGAATTCATAGATGACAACATATCAAGTAAATAATTAGTTTATTAGCATACAACGTTATAATTTTATTTTCTCATTGCTTTCTTGATTTAATTGATTAATTTTAGAAATATGAAAGCGTAGCGGTTTTTTGTATTAATTGCCGCATGCATTCTTATGTAAAATGTGAATACTATAACTATCAGATGGCAATTGTGAGTAGCTTTGACGTGGTCTAGTGTTTTGAGTAGTCATGCTCACTAAAATGTCCAGACTTGTGGCGGCGTGGTGGGCCGGGTCATTGGGCTCCCTAAAATATGGTCGAGCGCAGTGATGGCTGGCTCATCCGTCATACTCGTGAACGGATGCTGCTTGTAGGGACTGGTCTGCTCTAATCACTGACTGATTTCCTCTTATTAATTGTTTAACCAGTTGGTTATGTATTCAATATTTTTTCTTTTTGAGTATTTAATTGAATTAGTGCTAATTGGTGGTTTGTATTCACACAATTAAACTTAAAAATGTAAAGTAATAATAAAATTATTTAAAAGAGCAACACGCAAGTTTCTTGCTCGTTCTTCTTGTGATGAGACAGCTTTCCGAACGAGCGGTAGATTAAAAAAAATGTAATGACTTTTCAAAAGTGCTTCAATGTAAGTTTATTTGAATAAATGATTTCTATTCTATTCTATTCATTTTTTTTTTTTTTATACAACTTAGAATAGCAAACAAGCTGACGGCCCACCTGATAGAAAGTGTTAACCGTCGCCTATAGACATAACAGTTGCGTTACCAATTCTGAGGACACAGATGTTGTTCCTCTGTACTCAGTAAATTCACTGCCATATTCCACCCATCAAACCGAAACACAGCCATGTAAAAAAATACATACATTTAGTAAAACATAAAGTTTCAAGAAGTCTTTTATAATAGAATAATCAATTCTCTCGTTCTTTGCTTACTTCTGAATCACGCAACAATCTTTGATACGAGATTCCTTGTCATTTACACAGAAGAGTCCTATGTACAATTTACGGCCGGGTGAAGCCGGGAGGGATCACTAGTGAAGCTATAAACGTACTCACCTATCTGGCACGTAATATCCTTGACTGATGACCGCCTCGTAGAAATTGTCTTTGTCGTTGCACAGCGGACATTTCAAATAGTGCATGCCGGCGCTGAGAGCCATGCGCTGTAAAAAAAATATATATAAAAATTTAAAAAGAATGTCTAATAGCCAATAGTTCTATAAACTGATGAAACAGTTTTTTAATAGTATCTAATTTTCACATGATTTTTTTTTTTTTTAAGTTTAAAAAAAGAGGCCTTTTTCGCTTGCGCGAACCAGCAACTCGAGACGATTTCGGCCTTTCGAGAAAACAATCTTATCGCATACTGTAAATAAGGAGATGCAGTTACAAAAGACCATAGCGTCGTAGCAGCGTAGTTCGATTTAAAGTTTTAAAACACTCGGGCGCCGCAGCAGCGCCGCTCGAGTTGCCACTTCGAATCGGCCGGGCGCCGTATCCGCGCCGCTCGAGTGCAAAGGGTTAATTCAATTCAATATAACACCATGTTGTATATTTTTTAAAGTTATATAAAAACATAGTGGCTCAAGAAAGACAAGAATGTGAACGGTTGGAGGAGACCTTTGGCGATTTGGCAAACAGATCTACAGAAAATAAATAAGAAGCAAATACTAAGTTATTTTGTTTTTATAGTTTTTTTTTTATTTTAAGTTTAATGTTTGTTTTTAACCAGTGTTACTAGGTTAAGTTGATCTGAATAAATGAATGTAAGCCTTTACCATAAGGGGAGTTTTGCCAGTACTTGCCACGCTTGGCAGGCGGGTTGGCAACCGGAGTTAGGCTTTAAAGATGTTTTAAGAAGGATGTTGCTGCTCATCCAGTGACCAATAAGTTTCTTTAGATCCCAGGGGTGGGCATAAGACAATTTTAAGGTGGGCACGACCCAACCGCCCCGCCCCCATCGCCTCTCTTAAATACGTCTATGATCATGAGTGTTACCTGTAAACAAGTCCTGTGGAACCAGGCATCTCGAGCACAGCACGGCGGCCAGAACGTCTCCGGCGTTGGATACCCAGCCACTTCTTCATAACATATCACACACACCGTCTCTGTGGATATACGGATTTATATTTTATTAATATTTTACCAGAGGGAGACTGTACAAAAGTCGTTTGCTTGGGTACCTCTGTCCCATCCACAAAAGAAATTAGATTAAACGAATTGACGGAATGTAGAAAATCAAACCGCTCCTTTAGATAGCAAGGAAAAGAAGAGTTAAAAAGGATATTGTGGAGTAGTGAAGGAATGTGAAAATTCCGCAGAAAACGAATAGGAAGTTTCGTGTTTCAATCGTAAAGCAGTTGTGTTTGCATGGCTGTGTTTCGGTTTGAAGGGTGGGATATGGCAGTGAATTTACAGGATACAGAGGAATAACACCTGAGTCTGAGAGAGTGAGGGGGTACCATAGGCGAAACAGTATACAGTGTTATGTCCATGGTACTGCTCATGTCTATAAACGACGGCTACCACTTTCCATCAGGTGGGCCGTCAGCTTGTTTGCAATTCTAAGTTGTATAAAAATAAAAAATTTTCGCCTTTTTTTGCATTGTCATACAAAACAAATAAATGAATCTAGGAATTTAATCATAATTTTATTTTCATAAATATATGAGGGTCAAAATGGAACAGATAAGACCACCTTTTGTACCTTTGTGTATATATTTTAATTCTGTACTTTATGCTACTGTATTTCACTTGAATTGTTTATTTTTGTTTCTGGTGAAATAAAGAGTTAAATAAATAAATACCTTCGCATATATTGGAGTCACTACTACATCCATCACGGTCTAATGTCGCATGTTGTTCCTTCTTCCTGGCCTTTGCCATTCTGATCCTGGCATTGACCATTATATTGGGGGCGATAATTTGTTTCGGCGCATGATTCTGGCAATATGATCTGAAAAATATAATAATTATATATATAATAATAAATATATATAAATAATAAATGGGATAGTCCTTCCATTACTTCCTTCAAGAGAATACTGAAATCATATCTTTTAATCAATTGTACATGATAGTTCCATGCACTTATACACACATATATATATATATATATATATATATATATATATATATATATATATATATATACACACATATATGTATATATAATATTTATCTATTTACGTATTTATTTATTTATATATTTATTCACAATAGTGTTTGCTGTATTTACATTATTTTCACCGGTACCTTTCCTGCACTGGATTACCCAAATTAAATTTTTTCTCTCTAACTACACTGGGTTGATTGGAAGAGATCTCTTTCAGAGATAAGCCCTCTCTTGCTCGTCGCATATATTGTTTAAGTGTAATAAAGAATATATATATATATAATTCGTGTGAGGAAGACTTTGTACAAACGTTATCTTTGTTTTATAACACTGAGTTTTTTTTTTAATGGGTGATAATGGAAAGGCAACCCCACTTGCGCTATCGGTATACGCTGGCGAGATACCATTAAGGGATGATAGGTGACGATGAAATCAGGTCAGTTAGCCTATCGTGACGAATTCCACTAGAATTAATCACGATGATTACCAGGAGAAACCGCGTGGAGGTCATACTGATAGGGTGTATTGTTAGCAATAGGTTCATTAGACCCCATTACTAACAATCCCTCTCCTCCCGGAGGAATATACCACTGAGTTGCAAATAAGCATACAGCCCAATACTTGGTAAGCGGTTACGAGTCTATGAATGCCTGCAATACCAGTTGCCACAATTAGGAGCCGCAATTAGGCTTTGGTGATGTAACAGAGACGCTGCTGCCCATTCCTCGACCCTTTAGTTCCCTCAGCCGCCTCTTACGACACCCAAAGGGAAAGGAAGGGGTGGCCCATTCTAGCCGGGTCCACACATGGATTCCATTTATTCACTCATTCCTATTATACCAAAAAATAAATTATTAATATTCATTTAGAGGAGACTTTAAATACACCTGTATTTCTTATACGTATGTATGTTTTTTTTTTTTTAATTTTTTTCCATTGCTTCTGCCGCTATGTTTTAATGCGACAACCTTTATATCTTTGTCATATTGGCTATCTTATACATTTACTGAGTTTTTATATGTATGTATGTATGTTTTTTTTTTTTTGATGGGTGAAAATGGTATGGTAACCCCGCCTGCGCTAACGGGATACGCTAGCGGAGCACCAGTGAAGGGTGATAGATGAGAATGAAAACAGGCCAGTTAGCCCATCATGATGAATTCATCAGGAATTAACCATGATAGTTTCCAGGGGGAACCGCGAGGAGGTCGACCTGGTTGGGAATATTGCTAGCAATGGGATTCTCAGTCTCCATTACTAACAATCCCTTTCCCCCCTATGTATGTATGTTACATGATATCTTCTGCATTTTTCTTATCCCTTTCAACAATCTATAGAGATTATCAAGAGATTGTCACTGCATGTGTTGATCTTACTTTTGTTTGAGCTGTTATTTATATAAATATGTAAAATATGTCCGTTTTACTGAAATAACTTACTTGTAAGTCCCATAAAACAGTGACACGGCCATTCTTCGCCTCCCGCACGGTAGGTGGAATTGCTTACGGCACTGGCTGACGGAGCACCCCAGGGAGGCACCATCGCGGCCGCAATAGGAGCATCTCTGTGGGACAATTGTCATAATAATCATCATCGTCATCATCATCATCATTTTAACCGTTAACTGTCCTCTGCTGAACATAAGCCTTCCCCATAAGGGGAGTTTTGCCAGTAGTTGCCACACTTGGCAGATGGGTTAGCAATAGTAGTTAGGTTTTTAGAGATGGTTTAAGAAGGACGCTGCTGCCCATCCCTCGTCCTGTCTTAGTAGTCTTTTACGACACCCTCGAGAAATGAAGGGGTGGCCTATTCTATGCCGGGACCACACGGCCACTTTTCTAATATAAGCATTTTAATAAAAAAATTTCCTATTTAATTTGAACGGCTTCTTTATACAATTTAGGATGACAAACAAGCTAACAATCCACCTGATGGAAAATGGTAACCATAGCCTGTAGATATGAACAGTACCATGGATATAACAGAGTACTGTGTGCCCTGTGTTGTCCATGATCCCTACATGGGTTGTCATTCCTGAGGACTAAGGTATTGATGATTGTTAATAATGCCAGTCATATTGCTAGCAATGTACCCTGTCAGATCGACCTCCATGTGGTACCCCCTGAAAACCATCATGCCGAATGCCTGGTGTATTCATCATTCATCTTAGAAGATTCCTACCAGGAAACATTTTCCAAAATTTAAGGGCCAAATGAAACAAATATTTGATGTTGAAATTACATACTGCTTAACAATATCAAAAATGTTAAAATACAATTTTCAATAACCTCATTCTCAGTTTCAGTGCTGAACATTTAACACTCTGTGCAGCAATCTCTAATAATTTGCCTGAAAATGCCTCATTTAGAGGTACACACACACATGTCACAAAATATGCATGAAAAAATGGCAGGTGGAGGTTAATGATTAATATGGAAAGTTCTGGAAATTCTGTAATAGTGGTGGTCAATCTTAAAGTGTTGGCATTCACAAACATACTAACGGTAGCAGAATTAAACAAAACAAGTCTAATCAAATAACCAGTGATGAATTTGAATTCACTCTATACAATCTATCTAATCTATCTAATCAATTTAAATATCTTATGGCTGTTTCAGTTGAAGGGTGGGATATGGCATGAATTTACTAGGTACAGAGGAATAACACCTGAGTCCTCAGGAATGGCAACGCATAGGGGGTATCGTGGACGAAACAGTATACTGTGTTATGTCCATGGTACTGCTCATGTCTATAGGCGACGGTTACCACTTTCCATCAGGTGGACCGTCAGCTTGTTTGCCATTCTAAGTTGTATAAAAAAAAGTACTCTATACAAGTATAACTATTTTTTCTTATTAATATTGAAAGTATAAAAAAACCTTACATGTTTCTTACTCCGCTCCACTTCTGCCAGTATATCAGGATACAGGAATCCAAACAGTCCCTCCTCATCTTTGCCTTTTTGCACCAGGCAACAAGACAGCAACTGTTGATAAGTTATACAGGTATTGATTTATTTAACTCTTTATTCCGTTAATATATAAAAATATAAATTGACAAATAGAAAATTCAAATAAAATACAGTAGTATAGATTACAGATCAAAATATAGGCATGAAAGTTTCAAAATACAGTCTAACCCTCTAACTGGCCATCCTACATGCAGAATCTATTAGTTTAATTTTATGCATCCCATGATTTCAACATGCTCACATTTTTTTGTTCGACATTGTTGATGCATTGATGTTTTAATACTGCGATTTTTGTTTTAATAGATTGATATTATTTCTCAGAATCTCACTATACAGCTGAATACTCATACTGCTACTTGTTGCCAAAGGATGTGTTTTATTGTTGTGAAAAAAAATGCAGTCAAAGGGTTAATGGAAAGCAGACAGATAAGTATTCATCATATTTTTTAACTACCTTAAAAATATAAGGGATTATTTTAAATTGATTATTTCAAACCTACTGCAAAATATTGCAGAAGCAACTTTTGACTTTGAAATCTGAATAAAGCTAAAGGGTCTTTTTTGAACATTGTAAATTCAGCTGTGAGAGTGACTGTTAATAATGGGGACTACAAGCCCAATTCTTTTAGTGTACAATACAGACACAGACTACTGATATTATAATAAATTTCTGTTTCAACCTAGATTTGAACTCAACGTAATTATCTAAAATGCTTAAATAATTGTTAAGTTTGAATCTTAAAATTTACTTATAACTATTGTTTGGATGTTTTTTTACTCCATAACACATATCGTAAGTGAATGGATTTTAATGAATTTTGTTGTGCAGTAGATCAAATCCTAGATTAAGATATAAGATAACTTCAAATTGCTTTAAAACTACTGGTTACAGTTAATTATGTATAACAAAACGAGCTTATGACATAAAAACAAACGTACAAAAAATGACTTACAACACAAAAATAATGACATTTTATATCGCCAATAGCATACAACTTGCCGTATATTATCTCATCATCTACATCATCACGGCAAAATACACAAGGACCTTTCTCTCTAGTCACTAATTTTGCTAGCACCTTAGTCCTACGCGATGCTACTTTCCTACTAGACATATTTATTTAAATACTTTATTTTATTTATTTACATTTCTTTAAAAACTTTATTAATTAGACTAGAATAGAATTGCTTTCACAACTTATATCAAGACTAATTATTTATATAGAAAATTTATAAATTAAACTAAAGTTAGATGAACAAACGTCAATGTAATGATTTACTTTGGCGGGACTTTATTTTTTTTAATCTTTAGAATTAGTGCTCTACAATATGGCCGATTCTGAAGTAAGAAATAAAAAAAAATTAATCTATTGCAACTTTATATTTGAATTTGACAATTTTTTAATATTAATGTTTTATAAGCCATCATAAACTAAAACAAAAATTTTTTCAATCTTTCAGAAAACGTTTTCATTATAATTAAGATTTTTTGCAGTACAAAATAAATTTTTTATTGAAATATTAGACAATTAGTGCCTCAAAATCGACTCTATTATTTTAACCATACGTTTAGAATAACGGGTTCTTCAAAAGGGGGATAAAGAGGTTTCTTCAGGGTCGGCAACGCGCGCGTAATACCTCTGGTATTGCAGGTGTTCATATAGGCTACGGTAACCGCTTACCATCAGGTGGGCCGTATGCTTGTTTGCCACCTCAGTGGTATAAAAAAAACGTATTTATCTGTTCCGTTTTCATTTTCTTCATTGTTTTCATCATGAATATAGCATTGCATTATTTATTTTTTTATTTTATCACGTTTTTATTTACTTATTTATTTTATTTTTATTTATTTATGAGGAAAGGTTGATTGGTAAAGAGAAGGTAGAAAGACAAACCTGGTTCAATTAGTTTTCGCGTGTAAGTCTTGTCATACGCGTTCATATTTTATTTCATTCAACCCAACACTTTTGTTGATTCTGTTGCGGATTTGTTAAATGACGCGCTGAGATCACAATTCATTATGTGTAACTGGCGAAGATTTATCGAGATCTTTTCACTATTAAATCTGCTTGACACGCAGCTAGCCGACGGATCACTTTATTATATATCGGGGGTAGACTCCCAATGTGATCCCAGATTTGATCGGGGTTATGGATAGGTAAGGAAGATAGAAGTACATATTATTATATTGCAGTCTTGCGTTCGGAAATGTTTGATGTTCGATAGCAACGACAACATTATAATAACCAATTGTCTATGGTAGAAGATATTTTTAAAATATGAAATATGAGTAATTAGTGAAGCAACACTCTTTTAGAAACGTCAAAAAAATCCAAAAAAGCCGCAAAGGCGACATTAGTTTTAATTTATTTTTATTGTTATTTGTTTAATTATTGTTATAATCAATTTAGGAAGTGTACTACAACCATAATTTTATCTAGTCCTAGACATTATCTATATTAATTCATCCGCAACCAAAAGCGTTGACTTTATTGTGCCATAAAAATGTTGATTGACGATCCTTTGTTTTGAAAATTGTTGGTTTTCGTCATTTTCTATTGGAATACAACTTGGAAACTACTTATAAATGCCCATTTTAGTGCGTATTTTGAAAGGACAGTGTCCTAAATCCACTCATTTGCATTATATTTACGCGTTTTCTCGTTTCATTCTCGTTCTATTTCGCAACCATACTGCTTCGTCGGTTCGCTTCGGATATGGATGTATTGCCTAATAATCATCGTGAAAACCGCCAACAGACGGTAAACATCAGGAAAGCCTATTTAAATATCCAATAAATAGTAATATCTCTGTAAAATGTCCAAAATTGAGAATAGTCAAGGTATTTGGTCAGTTACAAATGAGAATATCGATTCTAAATACGAAAAATGTCGTAACATTACCGAAGAGATATACAAGAGGATAAATATAACGTTTGAAATAAAAAAACTGGAGACTGAAGTCCAAAGTGATGTGTCTGAACACAGGTAAATTTATTTATATGTTATTTTATTTATTATAAGGAATTCCATTTATCCTTCTTTTATCACCATCATCATATCAGCTGTTACTGTCCACTGTTGAACATAAGCCTCCCCCATTAAAGGGGTTTTGCCAGAAGTTGCCTTGCTTGATAGGTGGATTAACAACAGCAAATAGGCGTTGGTGAAGTTTTAAGGAAGAAGGTGCCCATCCTTCTAGCTTCAAGTTCCTGTGAACTTAATGGTAGAGGGTCTAAGGAGTCACCTCTTACGACACCCATGGGAAAGGAAGGGGTGGCCCATTCTATGTCAGGGTTTATTTTCTTTTATGTAGATAGATAATTTTTTTATTCCATTATTTATTTATTTATTCATTAAAAATAATTCTAACATTATAACAGCAAAAGTAAATTTTATAACATTATATATTTGTATGGGGAAATCTAGCTTAACCTATTATAATCAGATTGATGCCTAGAGACCGGAACTGTTCTGCATCTATGAAACCAGTGTATAAGCAAGAGATGTATGTATAGATAGAGGCCTTTGCCCTTTTTAGCACTATTCTCAACTTTAGTTTTTTTTTTTTAATTTGACACCAGAGAGAATCATCCTGATATAAATAATAGTAGTATGGCGTATTGTATATTTCTCTATTTTTTTTTTATACAACTTAGAATGGCAAACAAGCTGACGGCCCACCTGATGGAAAGTGGTAACCGTCGCCTATAGACATGAGTAGTACCATAGACATAACATCTATCTATGTATAGTACATTACTCAATCCACTTAAGAGGTGAGAATTGTTAGTAATATGAATATTAGCCCCATTGATAACAAGGTATTTACCTGTCACCTTAACCACCATATGATTCCCCATGGAAATCATCACAGTTAATTCTTAGTGAATTTGTCATGATGGGATTATTGACCTCACTTCATACTCACCTATTTATCATTGACTGGTGCCCCATCTACATAAACCAATAGCATAGGCGGTGTTACCATTTTATTTTTATTTATTAAAAGAGCTAAAAAACTAAAGATGTTACAGTCACAGTTAAAAAACTTAAATGGAAATGGGCAGGGCATACAATTAGAGGGAGAGATAAATGGAGTAAAAAGATAATGTTTTGGTACACAAAAGATAAAAAAAGGAGAAGAGGAAGACCACATAGAAGATGGGTAGATGACATTAGGGCTGAAGCCGGTGGAATTTGGACAAGAATTGGTAGCAATAGAGACCATTGGAGACAGTTGGAGGAGGCCTTTACTAATAAGCAAACAGACAACAGCAATTAAATAAATAATAAGTTGTTAAAAAAAAATTGTCTAAATAAAGGCTTATATTATTATTAAAAAATACATACACTAAATTAGTGCAAGAAAAGCACTGAGTGTTGTAAGAGGTGACTAAGGGAACTTAATAGTCCAGGGTTGGGCAGTGCCCCTCTTTAAACATCACCAAAGCCTAATTGTAGTTACCAACTTGCCTGCCAAACGTGGCAACTACTGGCAAAACCCCTTCCTTATGGAGAAGACCTATATTCTGTAATGGACTGTTAACAGCTTATTTGATATGATGATGCATTCCAATGCATGACATGCCTTCAGCTGCCATGTCAGGGATGTTCTTTAGTACCCTCAAAATTCTCAACACTTGAGGGTGCCACCCTCACACAAGTAGTTAGTGGTGATTTAGACATGCTTATTACTATAACCACACCACAGTGACTTGGGGGGAAAGGGATTGTTAGTAACGGGGTCTATGGGTGGAAACTGTCGTGGTTAATTCTTGTGGAATTCGTCATGATGGGTTAACTGACCTGCCGGCTATAGCAGACTATCAGGATACAGTGCAGGTGAGGTTACCATTCACTCACAAGGGTGCTACGTCTGCTCAATGAGGTAGTAGCGAGTTCCAATCTGGACTTATTTCACTGTACTGCCACAGAGTTTTGCAGAGTGGTAACAAATTATGCAGAAATGCATTTTTAATATTTATTTTATATAACATAATTAGATTTTTATTTTTATTATTATTTCTATATTGTATTATTATAAATTTTGATTTTTTAATTTTTAATAAGTGCATTGGTAAAAACTGTGAAACTCACCAAAAATATGTATATAAATAAATAAATAAATTATCATCCATTAAAAAAACCACAGTGATGTCGGTAGGGGGAAAGGGATTGTTAGTAATGGGGTCTAACTGCCCCATTGTTAGCAATATATGTAATTAGATTGACATTCCTGCCCTTCCCTCAGAATACCATTGTGGTAAGTAATTGTTGAATTTATCAAAATGGGCCAAGGGACCTGCTTCATCCTCATCTGTCACTATTGATTATCCCTAATTAGTGCTCTGCTAGTTTAAACTGATGGCATGGGGCATAAGGGGTTACTATTTTTTTATTTTATTGTATGTATTGTGATAAAATGGAAGACCTTCTACATTTGCTGGTGGAATGTGTTCAGAATTGTAACCTGAAATAGAGGATTCTCGACGATATGCCATTATACAACGGTAATATAAATTTAATACTGAGTCAACCTGGCAGTTGCAATGCAAAACAGCTATATCTGTGGGCAAAGGTGTTCCTGACGAATTGACGGACTGACTTTCAGACATTCCCTATGAGGCTGGCGTTGACTACGCCAGCCTCAGGTGTACTAAAGCCTCAATAGAAATTTGAATTAAAAATAATTCCACAGCGACCAGATAGATAGCAACGAACTGAGCAACGAAACAGACTTGTTTGCGTGTGACAAGAGCGACAGCATATCTAGCAGCACGGAGGCGGAGAAACCGTCGGCGACCTGCGAGAAGTACATCAACATCAATAACAACGAGGAGACCAGTAAGAAAGCAATTGTCGTCTGCAAGAGGCCAAGGAAAAGGTAATCAGATCACACACGCTCATAACATAACTCCTTTAATTATTTCTCTAACTTTTTAGTCAAGGGGGGAAAGGGATTGTTAGCAATGGAAACTGAGAATCCCATTGCTAGCAATATACCCAACCAGGTCGACGTCCTCGCGGTTCCCCCTGGAAACTGTCATGGTTAATTCCTGATGAATTCGTCATGATGGGCCAACTGGCCTGTTTTCATTCTCATCTATCACCCTTCACTGGTGCTCCGCCAGCGTATCCCGTTAGCGCAGACCATACCATTTTTATCCATAAAAAAAACCCTTTAGTCAAAGTATTTTGGCCTTTTTTGTGTGTTTGTTTTGGTTTTTAACCTATTACAAAAAAATAACAGGTTCTCAATTAAGTTTATTTTGTTTTAAGTTTGTTACCTTAGAATTCTGTCAGTCAGAGTGGAAGCATTGTATTCTATGCATTTTTAACTTTAAGACTGGTCCCATAGAAATTTTATCAAAATCGGTACATTAGTTTACTTTTATTTAAATTAAAACTAGCGACCAGCCCCGGCTTCGCATGGTTGCAATGTCGATACTAAATGGCGTCGTCTATCCCCAATTACATTACGACATTACATTAGAAACCTCTAAAATTATCAGTGTTCCTCTACTATATTACGCATGTATTATACATATAAACCTTTCTCTTGAATCACTCTATCTATTAAAAAAACTGCATCAAAATCCGTAGTTTTAAAGATCTAAGCATACATAGGGACAGACAGACGGGAAGCAACTTTGTTTTAAACTATGTAGTGATGGTGATGATGATAACTGGTTTTCCCACCATTTTTTTTTTGTGGAAAATATAAATTTATCATTAAGTCTATTACACTGTAGTAACAATACAGGTTCAGGAAACGCGTGAAGAAATGCCAGCAGAAACCGGCACGGAGTGAATCGGACGGGTCCAGTGATGAGGCGCTCCCGCTGAGCAGGATGCTCGACGTGGACACCAAGAGTGCTGATGAGTGCAAGAGCGAGTCGCCCGACAACGTCATGGGTGTACCGAAAATTGTTATCATTACTAAAGGTAATTTCCATTGTTTTTTTAAACTACAAATGCATCTCTCAGCTTTGGCTGCGTGAATCGGTATATAAAAATCTTACGTATTAATTTAGGATATAACCTGTCCATGTACTAAATTTCATTCAAATTATTACAGTAGTTTTTGCGTGACAGAGTAACAAATACACATTCAATCATTCTTACAAACTCTCACACTTGTAACACTAATCTGATATAAATTACGTTACAGATTTGAAACCAAAAATTCAGAAATCCAACATTTCCACTAAACTGAACTCCTCTCCAAACACCAAAGAAGCGGAGTCTGTAAATGAAGATCAGATCAAAACCCCCATAGACACGGATAGTTCAATAGACATTTCAAAGACCATAGACAAGGGAGGGATGGAAACTAGCAAAGACAAAGTGTCAGAGTGGAAGCATTGTAATTTATGCAGCTTGTCGTTCCGCGGTGAGCGAGGACTGAGGTACATATATTTTTTTATACAGCTACAGTAGCAAGGATGCGGCTGGCCTGATAGTGTAGGTCTATGTCCGTCTACACTCGAAATAATAAAGGCATCTGGCATGGTAACTCTCATAACATGTCAATTTGGGGGGGGGGGGCATAGTAATAGGCTTCAGTAGTTCTATTGGTAGTAGGTTATATACGTTATCAGGTAGATCTGCGAGTGATTCCCCCTGGAAACCAACGTGGTTGATTCTTGTTGATTTTGTCACGATGGGCTAACTGACCTGCTTCATCCTCACCTATCATCCCTCACTGGTGCCCCGCCGGTGTATATATACCATTAGCGCAGGCGAGGCTACTGATCCATTATCATTTATTAAGAAAAAAATATCTTCTGTCCCTTTCAGACGCCACCTGACAATGTCACACATTTTAAGCCCAGAAAATTTGGACAGCAACAAACCGGAGCAACGACACTCGAGACCTATATAAACTGGTAATATCATTTTAGTCGCATCTTGCGAAGTTTGCTTTATACAAGAAATCATTTTTATAATGAAAATCTTTGATAATTCTATTTTAGTGCACACAAGAATATATAAAAAAAAGTAATATAATTTGTATGTACCAAATTATACAAATTTATGAGATGGCAACTCTTTTTGTATTCCGCCAACGTCGCGGTTTGGAAAATAAAAATAAATTAACATTTCAAATTTAAATATCGAATTGTAAATTGTTGAAGCAGTTTTCGCAAATAAGTGAATTTAAAGTAAGTACGTACCTACTCACTTTAAATTCGCTTAATAAACAACTTCTAATCAATATTCGCAAGATGACGACATTTTTATTTTGTTTCTGTTTAACAAAAGAGTTCTAAGAATTAAAAAAAAAAATATCTCACTGGGTTCCTATTAATATTCTAAATTTAAATTAATTCTAAATTGCTAATGTGTATACATGAGATGGTAATCATAAGATACTTACTTGTATACATTTACATCATTCAGCTGGTAAACTTAATAAAATAGTCTGTGAAGGTTATAGAATATATAGGAGCTATAATATACATACTTTTTTTATAGTTCGTATTTATAATTTAAAGAATAATGTGTATTGTACCAAATCAGGAGAGACATTTAAAAAATTTTTTTATTAATCTATGGTTTGAAAATGGCGGGAAAAATATGCTGCTATCGGATCAATATATGACAGATTTGATTAGGAAATCTTAGAACTCTTTTGTAAATAATGATTTAGTATATTTTGTTTGTTTTAATTTATATTAGGTGTGTGTATGTAAGAAAAATGTGGCTAGTTAGTATTGTAGGAAGATGTGAATGAGCTACTGTCGTGATTCATAACACAGATTAACCACAGATAAAATAGTATTTATTTATTATTAAATGATTTAAAAAATTGTGCCAAACTGGAAACTTGAGCGCTTAATTTCTTTTTCGTCGCGACAGTAGCATTATTGGTTGGCAGGGTCAAATATCTGTGATCGATGGCATAATGTGATTGTAGGTTAGAATGGAACATTTGAATGGCTTATCATAGACTAAATTGGAGGGAAATTTAAAGTTATGCTGTCAAATTATTCTATGGTAAAGGTGTAGTACAAGAAAGTTTCGGCCGTTTTTGAGTACAAAATTCTATTTTAAACAAATCTCTTTAATAAATTAAAAAAAAAAAGTAGTCATCCTATAGTTAAGGTGTTGAAAAAAAAAATTGAAGAGCCGTCTATGTTTAGAGGTGTTGTCGATTTTAAAATTTTTGTCTATGAATAAGTTAGGGTGTTGCAATAATTAAAAAAAAAATATGTGTTTCCTTTTTCTATAAATGTGGTGCTTATTTGTTTTCTTTTATACAGAGTAGAATAATCTTTTTAACATATAGTGAATTAAAATATAATGAGAAAGTATTATATTTATGAATATAAAAAAAAAATGTAATGAGGTCGTTTCTGAAGCTCTGTTTCTCTAAACCAATCTCTATTCAAGATTCAGTTTGATATCACAGTGAAAACTTTATTCTAAAGACCGATATGAACTAAATATCTAATATATTTCAGTCAAAATTATTATAAATATAGTTTATGATGATCAATTTATAGCTTATTAACTTTTAAAATGTTAGTTAATTTTAGAGTAATAGCGTCTCAGAAACGACCCCAGGTCATATTTTATCGATTGCTCCAAATTAGTGTTTGAAAAACACGTTCTACTTATTTCTTTTTTTTTATATATATATATGGCAATTATATTCATATAGTGAAACACTATGGAAAATGTAATATTTGGAATTAATATATTTAGAGTCCATTCTCTATAAAATGCATGGCAATGTCCATTTTATATTTATAAATATAAGTACATATATATATATATATATATATATAATTATATTGAATTAAACATTCAATGTTTAGTTGCAAATACATGTTAATTCTAATATTTAGGATTACAATTATAATAACTGTTCTAAGAATTAGAATGAACACTATAAGCATTAGTGTTAGACGAAAAATCTATTCTATATTTATATTGCGGAAGGTTCAAAGCCATTTTACTAGTCGAAAATTGAGAATAGAATGAATTCTTATTTTTTTTTTTAGTTTATATAAAAACTTAACTCCCCTATTTATGAAGACTAAAACTTATAAAGCTGTTTCAATTGTCCATGTTTTGTCGTTGTCTTTCAAATTTGGAATTTAGCATAAAAGGAATAGACAAAACATTTCAATAGCTTTATTAGCTTTTATTTTATTGGATGGTTGTCGTTTTTTTTTTTAAGGAAAGAGTTAATGTACAAACTTTTTTTACCACGACAGATACAAGAAAGGACCTCTATGGATTATTTGATATAAAGCCAAATTAAAAGTCAATTTAATTTATGGTCATTATGACAAAAAAAAATATATCAGTCGATTTTTACCTAATGTGTATCATATATTGAAATAAACTTGCCATGAAACCATTGAAAAATATGATGGTCCTTCGAGCCGGATATCGTAGTTTATTTCCACAAAGCTTTTCTTGTATTTGTCAAAATAAAATCGATCTGAGCTAAAGAGTAGGTACTAAAGTTTTTGTACAAAGCATCTACTACTATAAATTTACCGTATTAGTCTTAAAAACGTAAAACATCTAAAAAATCTATTAAATAGTGGGCATGCTGTCTCTTTCTTTTGTATTAAGAATAACTTGAAAGAAAGAGACAATACTATTGATTTATCAGATGTTTAACGTTTTTATGATAACTACGATTATATTTTTAGCTTCGATAAATAACAGTTAAGGATGCACATCCGAAGGAATTTGCAATTTCTACAATTCTATAATAAGTGTAATTATAAGTCACTCGTTTGTATGTTCGCCTGCTTATTGTCGTACAAATGTGTAGTGGAAATATTTTGAAACCCGTCAACCTGCATCCCAAACTATTATAGTTGAAAACTTTACCTTCCGATATCTAAATCCGATGAGATTTAAACCTACATTTTATACTTACGTCTAGGTTACTTGGAAAAAACTGAAAGTTCGCCCAAAAGTCGTCTGCATCAGTAACTATCCCATTCGTATTTTTACTGCAAAACAGTTATGTTTGCATGTCTGTGTTTCGGTTTAATGGGTGATATTTGGAGTGATATTAGAGGCTATGATGGCCTAACACAGTATTGGGGAGGATAAAGAAATCTAACAGAGACACTCTAACAGATTCAATAACACTTGAGTCCTCAGGAATGACAACGCATGAGGGGTATCATGGGCGAAACAGTATACTCTGTTATGTCCATGGTACTGCTCATGTCTATAGGCGACGGTTACCACTTTCCATCAGGTGGGCCGTCAGCTTGTTTGTCATTCTAAGTTGTATAAAAAAATCAGAGAAGAAAGGGATTGTTAACAATGGTGTTTGACAGCCCCATTGCTAGAAATATGCCCTATCAGGTAGACCTCCATGTGGCTCTCCCTGGAAACCACCGTGAACAATTCTTGTTAAATTCGTCACGACGGGCTAACTGACCTGCTTCACCCTCACCTATCATCCTTCACTGGTGTCCCGCCAGCTCATACCGATAGTACAGGCAGGGTTATCATTTCATTTTTATTTGTTAAAAACACAGTATTCGAGAATGGAATGTGTGAAGAAGAAATGATAGCCCCGCCTGCGCTACGGGCTCACTGGTGCCCCGCCAGTATACGCTGGCGGGACACCAGTAAGAGGTAATAGGTGAGGATGAATGCAGTCGGTTAGTCCATCATGACGAATTCGTCAACAATTAACCACGCTGGTTTTTAAGGAAAACTGTTAGGATATATTGCCAGCAATATTGTTAAACCCCATTACTAACCATCACTTTTCCCCTGAGATATGGGTGTAAATCCTATTGGATCGAGCTGTTTTAGAAAATAATTTTTTTAAACAATTATTTAAATGTCTACTTACGTAGTTCTCAGTGGAACGGAAACCCATATTCGTGAAAAGAAATCTGTGAAGATTGATGAAAATAAAACTGTAATAGATCACAATTGATTAGATATATATATATATATATATACTTATTTATATAAAATTTTTTATTTGAAACAATCGACAAAGCAAAGTAGTACCTTATACCGTAAAAGCTTTATACAGTGACGCGACGAATCTCAACTCGAATAGGACTCAAGTTCAAGACTAGATTGAGTTGATATTTTGCATACACCTTTAATTCTGATGCAAATACAATACGCATTACTCAATATTGTAATATTTTCAAAATGGCCGCCGTCACAACATGGCGGATAGAGTATATTTTACAGTCAATATTTTCTATTACAGACTTATTGTCCGTAAAATAGAATTATAACGCATACAAGTACAGGACATGTACTGTAGATAATTTTATCTTTTTATTTTGCATCCATACAAAATCACATGAATTCGGTGACTATAACGATTACATCAATTCATTTGTTGACCATTTGTCAAACAGAAGCAGTAATCTAAGACTCGTCGCGTTACAACATCTCCTTATTTGTTTTATCTATGCCTTTAATTTTCTTATGTATCCCTTTATTTTTCTTTATCGAATGATCTCTATTCGTGTCATCTGATCTATGGTGCAATGGGTGTTGCCATATTGTTTATTTTATTATCATTTATTTTACTATCAATATTGATTAATGTCTTCATGAAAATGTAGACTTAGCTATATTAGATATCAAAAAATAAATTCTATTTATTTGTTTATATTTTCATGGATTCATTTTTATGTCTAGTTATTATTATTGTTCCTTTTTAAGAGAATATGTTTTAATTTATAGTTTTAATTAGCTTATACTGTTATTCGGCGATGTTGATACATTGCCAGCCAGTTATAAATATAAGTGTTTGATTCTATGTTTAAATAGAATTAAAAAAAAAAACTTTAATTGAGGTGCGTAGATGTTTTAAAGATTAAGTTATCATTACATAATAAGATTGGCGGGAGAATGAATGTCTTTTTTTTTTTAATAAAATTCTTTTGAATTTTTTCTGACTAAAGTATAAAAACACGTCGGATTAATATTAATTAATGTTTTTGTTATGGATTTGTGGTGTTTTAAGTTATTATTGTGTAATAATATTATATTAAAGATCTGTTTGTCGGTTAAGGTTACTTGTGGGAAAAAGATGGATATACTAGTCTCGTCCGCATGCGTTTCATTTGTTCAGTGTTGCCTGAATGCTACATATTTTTCTACTCCAAATTTTTATTTTTTTTTAATCACAAGCTTGAGTAGGTTTTCTTTACTACGTTTTACTGTATCATCACCAGAATGGTGAAAAACCATCCTCTACGCTAACGTTTTACCACATGTCGCCTACATTAGTATATTCTATGTTGACTACAATTGATAAATTCCAAAATTCTCAAATTATTTACCCAAATTTTTCCACGTCCAATTTATTTTTTTGCTATATTAGTGTTGACATCAGCACTGTCTTTTGGTCGAGTCAATTGTTCGTTTAAAATTATACAAACTTACATTTTCGTTGGTTTTTCTTGAAAAAAAATTTTAACATTATGCAATAATATTGCAGAATATAAGGGACAGGTTGTCAAAAACAAAGTGGACATTCATTTCGGAAAATTTCAAACTTTTCCCTGTATTTTTCATTTAAAATCATTTAATCATGTATTAAAATCCTATCGCCACACACGGAATCAGCTGTGTAAAATCTACGCCACAAACATACGAAAAATACCTACGAAGAAGCGCGCGCTGTAGATATCACGTGTCATGTGGATTGTAAAATTTCAAATACATTGCGCCGCGTCAAAACTAAAAATCGTTAATCAATATGGCTGTGGTGCATTTCCGGTGGGAAAATAGTCTGCCATTTGATACAGACTTTCTGAATTAGCTGTTTTCGTTTTGGCCAACCTGTCCCTTCCGTTCTGTGTAAATCGACAAATATAAAAACTTTTTTATTTTATTTTATACATTGTTCATTTCATTTAAAAATTATGCCAAGATAGCTGACTAATTGTCCCAAGTATAATTTTAACCGAATCCAAAAGAAATTTAACTGTATTATTATGACGCTTAGAATTGAATTTTAAACGTCATCAAAATTATAATCTATATAATAATAATAAGAAAAATAATCTGCAAGATTATTCTTAAAATTTTTTAAATAATATATTTCTACTACTAAGAACCTACAACTCGACTTTAAGTCGATCATTTTGTATTTTTGCTAGGGGAAATTTCTTAAACTACCAGACAAAGTCGATCATTTTGTATTTCTACTAAGGAAAGCCTACTAAAACTACCAGACTGTAAGTCGATCAGCTCAACTAGTTAAATGTTTATTAGATGCACTTATAGATAGGTGAATTTTAAAATGTAGGTAATTCTCTTGCCGTTTTTCTATTGTAAGGTTTGTGTTGTTAACGAATGAATTAGGAATTCTAAAGTGTTATATAAAAAAAAAACATTAAATTATTGAACTTTTTAAAGCGGGCAGTACGGTCTCTAGTCAAATTTATTATAGGAATCATACTCGAGCCGATTTTGAAGTGTATTTCTCTAAACCTTTAATGTAATGTTTTAATTTGATAATTTCACAAAATTACCGTTTTATGGACTATCATAAACTAAATTTGCAATTATTTTGACATAAATATATTAGAAATTTAATTCATATACCTTCTTAGAATAAAGAATTTGCTGTGATATCAATTTGTAATTTTAATTTTAGACAGAGGTTTAAAGAAATGGCGCTCAAAATTAGCCTGTTTCCGTATAATTTCTTTTTTTAATATTTGAACTATTAGCATTAAAAAAAGGAAATCTTAATGCCATTTTCTTGGTACATAACGGCGTCATTATGTTATTATAAGGTTAACAAACTTCCTCTGTTTTATTCTGTAGGCGGGAAAATATATAAAACTTTACTTTCCCGCCATTACGTATTTTTTCTAAAGTCACTCTGCCATAGACTAATGAGGATTTGTCGTTTATGTTGTAATACAATGGCGCCAACATTTTTGTTTTTTTTTTAATGGGTGTTACATTCGCAAATATTCGAACTTTGTGTAATTTCGCCTGTTTAAATATTTTCCCGCCAAATTCGAATTCCTAATTTATTTGTAACAACTTATTAATTAAGGTGTTTCGGCCAGGCCCTGTCAGGTACTGAATGTACGCACGTACAACGGTTCAACCGTTTTTCATTGTGATTACAAATAAAATACAATATAAAATTTGAAAATGTGGTTTTATTTCAACATGTCATTTGGTTTACATAAAATAAATACATTAGGTTATAATAAAGCCATATTTGCTAGTCACAAATATATCTAACCATTAAGAGACTATAAAAATCATCTATTACAGTCTACCGTAAAAAGAAATTACGAAAGTTTGGATTCATATTCATATTTCTTTTATGCAACTTAGAATGGCAAACAAGCTGACGGCCCACCTGATAGAAAGTGGTAACCGTCGCCTATAGACATGAGCAGAGTACCGTGGACATAACAGAGTATACTGTTTCGCACATGATACCCCCCATGCGTTGCCATTCCTGAGGACCCAAGTGTTATTCCTCTGTACCCTGTAAATACACTGCCATGTCCCACACTTCAAATCGAAACACAGCCATGCAAACACAACTGCTTCACTATAGAAACACGAATGGGACAGAGGTGACCAAGCAAACGGCTTTTATACAAAGTCTCCCTCTGGTAATCAGGTGGGCCGTCAGCTCGTTTGCAGTTAAGTATAATAATTGAATCTATATCTGGGTGATATTTACACAATGGAAGAGTGTATGTAATTTTTAAGTTAATGTCTCATAAACTGATTTGTCATCTTTTTTTTACAACACAGGGGGCAAACGAGCATACGGCTCACCTGATGGTAAGTGACTACCGCCGCCCATGATCACCCACAACACCAGCGGCATTGCAGGTGTGCTGCCGGCCTTTTAAAAGGGAATATGCTCTTTTCTTGAAGGTTATGTTATCGTATCGGTTCGGAAATACTGCTGCTGGAAGTAAAATTTTTCAATTCATCCGTCATATCAGCCAACAAATGTCCACTGTTGAATTCTAAGCCTCATCTTTAGGGGGTTCTAACTGCTGCTGCATGCTACTGGCAGTAGTAACGCTTGATAGGCGGATTGGCAGTAGCAGTTAGGCTTTAAAGATGTTTTAAGAGATGTTGCTGCTCATCCCACGCCCTCCCAAAGTCGTCTCTTACGACACCCACGGGAAAGGACGGGTTGGTCTATTCTATGCTGGAACCACATGGCCATGTTTTTATATAGCCACATGCAATAGGAAAAGTGAGCTTGTTAAAATTGTTAATTAAATTAATTTATACTCTAAAACGAAATTAGTAACATCGAAATATTTAATAAACTAGCGGCCCGTCTCGGCTTCGCACGGGTGGACATTTTTACAATTTAAAAAAGTGACCATTAAGGCTGCACACGCGACGGAGGCTTAGAAAATGGAGTAACTTCTCCCGTTTTCCCAACATTTCCCTTCACTGCTCTGCTCCTATTGATCGTAGCGTGATGAAAAGTATACTATAACCTGCCCAGGAGTATGAAGAATAATTGTACCAAGTTTCGTTAAAATCCGTCAAGAAGTCTTTGTTTCTATAACGAACATACAGACACATAGTCAAAAATTTTACTGATTGCATTCTTGGCATCAGTATCGATCACTAATCACCCGCTGATAGTTATTTTGGAAATATATTTCATGTACAGAATTATCCTTTCTACAGATTTATTATAAGTATAGATTAATCGACTAAAATAAGTCAACCTGGCTCTTCTTCCATTAAAAAAAACTACATGATTGTCAAATAAAATCAATCGATTCTCAATTTGTATTAACTATTAAACATCAAGACATTGTAAACTTTTCATTTATTTACATTTTTATTAATATGTATTGGAACAAAGTATAAAAATATTAAACATGATTGACAAATTTTACATGAAAATTGCATGGCATTCATTACCAGTCATCCAGAAGAGAAGTGAATAGACAGAGATAAAAATCACTCACTATCCTCCTTGCAATAAGTGACCTTATTCGATTTAATTTGATGGAAGATTTTGAAGAAATCCGACGTCGGCGCTAGAGCGCTTTTCTCGACCCACGCTTTGAAAGTGGACGCTATATTATCACTCTTCAGTGTCACTCTTAAATTTATCTGTTTATTCAATATAAACGGATCGAAGAACTGTTTTGTTGTTGAAATATTCAAATTGGTCAATAAAGGGGGATCGGGGCCTAGTAAATTGTCCACGTATTGGATGTCGTACGTTTTATATGTGTAGTCGATTCCGGATCGCGTTGTTACAGGCACTGGTGTGTATTCTGGTATTTCTGTGAGGTGGTCAGCATTCTCTGTGTACCGACGGTCGAATATCTGGAGGAGGGAGCGTATGTCTCGACCGTAGAGGTTTGCATCTTGATATTTATTGTAGCCGAGTCCTGTAACATGATTATTGAGTTACAAACAATTATATACAAACTTGTTTATCAAGCGACATTGAAAAAGTAGGTTCTAGTAGGTAGGTAGTATTTTTTTTTAAGTTTGTTTTTTTTTAACTTTGTCGGTTCAATCAGGAAGTCGTCCTGACAAGGTATTCTATATTATGACGAATTTTATATTATGCAAATTAAACAAATTTTAAGTAACAAGACGTTTTTTTAATATTTTTTTTTTTACTTATTCCCTTCGATACTAACAAAAAATATAAGAGTACTGATTCACAAATACTAACACATGCCCTTACTCAAATATTATTTAAAAAACAATATTTACTGTTCCAATATTTATTTATTCATTAAAAATAATTATAACATTATATTTCTTTTCTTTTTTTTTTTTTGTTATAACAACTTATAACAGCAAATGTCAAATCAATGTTATAAGTCTAGTGTGCTTACATACAACGTTATAATAAATGTATTTAACCCGACTAGATATTTCTGAGCCGCTTCTAATACCTGAAGTTTCAAATTTGATACCGGGGTTATAAATCGCATTGGGCGCCTACAATCGATTTTATTTTAACATTTGGCTGTTTACATGTTACCAAATGTTTTTTTTTTCTCAATATAAATATATAAAAATATCGTTTTGATTTTTTTTTTTTACTATTTTTTCCCATTAGTAAACACAGTAAAGGGTACACTTAAATATTTTTTAATTTGATTTAAAAAATCAGGCTTTTAAGGGTTAAAAAAAAACTTTTAATGTTCAATGTAAATTATGTATAATAAAAAAAAAAGAATTTCATCTGAAAGGATATAATAATACCACTTACCGTCAACGACTGCTTTTAACAGTGTAGTCATGCCGAGTGAGCTGACAAGTGCGACCGGCTCCGTGGGCGGAGTGGCTACGTACAGTACGCTGCCCTGTTTGGTATCAGACAGCAACTGTACGCTTACGTACATCAGGTCGCCCAGTAACACTGTCTGCACCTACAAATTAAAACATAATCATTATCATCATATTTTTTTTTTTATTATTATTTCAGCCCTTAACTGTATATATATTTTTTATACAACTTAGAATGGCAAACAAGCTGACGGCCCACCCGATGGAAAGTGGTAACCGTCGCCTATACACATGAGCAGTACCATGGACATAACAGAGTATACTGTTTCGCCTACGATACCCCCCATGCGTTGCCATTCCTGAGGACTCAGGTGTTATTCCTCTGTATCCAGTAAATTCACGCCATATGCCACCCTTCAAATCGAAACACAACCTTGCAAACATAACTGCTTCACAGTAGAAACACAAATGGGACAGAAGCGCACAAGCAAACGACTTTTGTACAAAGTCTCCCTCTGGTATATTGCTAACAATGGGACTGGTAGTCCGGATTATTAACAATCCCTTCCCTCTGATACGGGGATGGTGTAAATTGTGCGTGCGTGCGTGCGTGCGTACGTGTGCGTGTGCGTGTGCGTGTGTGGATGTGCATGAACGTGTGAGTGTGTGTGTGAGCGTTTCACCAGGACAAGTGAGGTATTCACCAAAGTGACAGGATCATCACGTCCAAGATAAAAAAATAGAAGTTTAAAAAAGAAAAAACTCATAAACCTCCGGCCTCATATTCTTATTCCTGTACTTGCTCAGTGCTTGTGTCACTCTGCTGGGTAACATGTGAATCTGTTTGGACACTGACTCCTCCTGGTCTTTCTCCATCAGCTCTATCACGTGCCACATCCGGCTTTGGGTTGCTGCTACTGAAATATGCAAGCTGACTGGTTAATTGACGAGTACTTTGATTATTATATGTTTATCTTTGTTATTTTATGTTTTTGGTCCAAGTTAAATAAATAAATTATTTAATGCAACAGTTTTTGTTGGTAAAAAGTTGAAAGTTTAACTTGTTGGATCACATTGTCTCTTTGGAAACCATCATGGTCAACTCATGGTAGATTCTTTACGATGGATCAACATCCTTCCGACTTTGTCATCACTTATTTCTTACTGGTATCCCACCAGTGCATACCCATAACATAAGTTGGGTTACCATTCCATTTGGTGTGTTCTTCTCTAGAAGTGTCTGATTCTAGAACAAGGACATATGCGACCCCGGCCTCCCGAGCCGTTGCAGTGTCCCAGTCCTTTCCGCAACTGCAGTGTCCCCCCTTTCCTTTCCCACATAAGTCCCTTATTCCTCTTATTTACTAATTTCCTTTATGAATTTCCTCCCTTTTTCCCTCAATCCTTTCCTCTATACCGTAGGTGGCGGCAACCACCAACAAATGCATTCCCAAAGAGTGTTGACGTCAAACAGGCGACCGGTCGTAAAACTATAAGCCAAATCTTTTTGTAATATGGATAAAAAACATATTACGCCGATCCCATATGACAATTTTTTTTGATTGGTGAAAATGGAATGGTAACCCTGCCTGCGCTAACGGGATACACCGGCGGAGCACCAGTGAAGGGTGATAGATGAGAATTAAAACAGGCCAGTTAGCCCATGTTAGTTTCCAGGGGGAACCGCGAGGTGGTCGACCTGCTTGGGTATATTGCTAGCAATGGGATTCTCAGTCTCTATTACTAACAATCCCTTTGCTCCCTAACGACCCCCTATAACAATTAGGATAAGGGTAGAAAGAAGTATATTAAAAAAAAATTTTTATCCAACTTAGAATGGCAAACAAGCTGACGGCCCACCTGATGGAAACTGGTAACCGTCGCCTATACACATGAGTAAGTACCATGGACATAACAGAGTATACTATTTCGCCCATGATACCCCCCATGCGTTGCCATACCTGAGGACTCGGGTGTTATTCCTCTGTACCCAGTAAATATTATTTAAAAGAGCTTGTAAACAAAAGCATAAAGATGATTTGAAATGATCTTTTAAAAGAGAAATAAGAGATATAAAAGAAATACTTACATTTCAATCGTAACCTTGATGCTATGTCCTCAATTTCCTCTTCGGGTAATGACTTAGATGCGTGTCTGCACAGCACGCGAGCGACACTAGCACTTGTCATAGGCAGCCTGGAGCTACGGACGTGGCGGGAGACCTCCCGCCAACGCACCCCAAACTCAGGGAGGACTGTCACACAACATAACTCGAGCGGCATCCTGCTTATTATTGTTTGTAGCTCTAATAATTCTGAAATTTATATTTAATTTTTTTTATTAACAAGTAGTTTAATTCAACTTTTGTTAAAAAAAAAGCAATATCTGAAATTATTTATATATTTTTATCCAAGCCACAAAAACGAAATGCTTTCTCACTATATTGGGTTGACTGGGAGAGATCTCTGTCAGAGATAAGTCCACCCTTGCTTACAACATTTATAAATACATTATTTTATATGTAACTTACATTTGCAATAAAGAATATATAAATAAAATACATTCTATAGGATAGGTATAAAGTACCCATAACTGGTGAGCGTGTATGAAAAGATTGATGAATGTTTTGGGGGAAGCGAAAGAGGTTTGTTTGAATCGAAGCATTTGGCATTCCATTGTTTCTGCCTACCCTAATGGGAGACAGGCGTGACAGATATGTATAGGATACTACATTTACCATTTCAAAATTAAATTAAATTAAATTGCATTTTGAATTCAGTAACAGTATGCTAAAAGAGTGGCTGTGGGTTCCCGGCATAGAATAGGCCACCCTTTTCTATCCTGTGGGTGTCATAAGATATGATTTAGGGAGGGTGAAGGGATGAGCAGCAGCGTCTCTCTTAAAATATTTATAAAGCCCAACTGCAGTTGCCAAGTGTGGCAACTACTGGCAAAAACCCTCAAAAAGGAGGCTTATGTTCAGCAGTGGACAGTTAAAGGCTGATATGATGATCATAAAAGAGAATGCTTAATATGAAGTCTACCTATGTAAATATTATTTCTATTATTAAGCTACACTACACTGATATCTACAGTGCAGCTCATGTATTAGTGTGAGAACCCAGCAATTTCACTGTCATGTCCCACCCTTCAATCAGAAACAGCAATAGAAGCACAGATATTTGGCAACAAAAACATGAGTGGGACAGAAATACCCATGCAAACAACTTATGTACAGAGTCTCTTGTGTTAAAGTTAATTATTACTGGCCATACTGTATAAATTGTCTACTGCCAATTAAAAAAAAAATTACTTTATTCCATTGACCAATTTACAATTTGTATTTTAGTAAATTTTCTTCACTATCGCATGAATACGAGATGTCAATTTTAAGAAATAGTTGTAAGATTGGATGTATTCTTAGCAGCATGGAGTTTCAGTTATATATATACACAATCAGTATTAAGCTGTCTAGGTTAAGGCTGGTGTTGAAAAAGGTCAGTTAACTAAAAATTCATCAAAGGTTATTGCACTCACATTCATTATTTTTCATGTTTGGGGTTGATATAGTATTCAAATAGCACCCAACTACATACAGACTTATGTATATGGTAAAACATTAACATTTTAATAGAACGATCACTGGAGACATATCATAAACTGTACTTACTGTTCTTCGCGACACGGCGTGCCTGCATTTTCGTTTAATTTATTCACTTGTCTAATTAAGTGGTACACACAATAATGAGAGTATTAATAACAATAAACAATAAAATAAAATTTGTTTTCAAATTAAACATTCGTTACAATTTAAACCAGAGGTATATAACTCCAAATTGTCAACACAAATGAAATTTTCGTTTAGACACACATCGTTAGATGGCGCTAATAATAAAATTTATTTTATTCTTCTCTTAAAATATGTTTAATTTTTATTACACATTTTTTAAAATTAGTATAATTCTTTACTTTTAATATAAATATATAAAATGCAATAGAAATTTTATTTGATTTGTGTGTGTTTTTTATGGTATTGTCATTATTTTTTAATTGGCTACACTAAAAATATAATCACAAATAATCCAATTTATGCATAAAGTTTTAAAATCTTTAAGCAATTTTCCTGTTGTTTCACATAATTAAATATGGTTTATGTACTATATATAAAAGCAATATTACTTATGATACTATTTTTTAAAACAGCAAGCATTTTGTATGTATTATAAACTTTATATTTTACAGCCAACTTAATGTTTTATTTATTAAAAGGAAGTAACGAAACGCGTTTGATATTTGTCTAAGACTAAGTACAAGACTATTAGCTAATCTAAGATATATATATTTTTTTGATGGGTGAAAATGGTACAATAACCCCGCCTGCGCTAACAGGATACGCTGGCGAAGCACCAGTCTAGGGTGATAGATGAGAATGAAAACAGGCCAGTAGTTTTCAGGGAGAACCGCGAGGAGGTCGACCTGGTTGGGCACATTGCTAGATAGCACTGGGATTCCCAGTCTCCATTATTAACAATCCCTTCCCCCCCCCCCCCAATCTAAGATATACTAGTCTGCTATGAATTGAGAAAAATAGCAAGTGACGGTGTATTTTTCATACTCTTTTTACTAATTATATTTGCATAAGAAGAAAGGAGGCAACCATAAAATTTAGTTTTAATTTCAATCATTCCTTCTATGTAATTCCTTGTTCTTAGCATTGACAGCTTAAGGATGATATTAATCTTATTTTGTTACTCAATAACTTTTAACGGCACTTGAAATATTAGACACATTCCATACTCCTATTTTTTGTCTTTGAGTGGATTCTACGTACCTTATCAATTTATGCTTACCATTGTGATATAATTTTTTTATGCAACTTAGAATGCCAAACAAGCTGACGACGGGGGGAAAGGGATTGTTAGTAATGGAGACTAAAAATCCCATTGCTAGCAATATACCCAACCAAGTCGACCTCCTCGTGGTTCCTTCTGGAAACTATCATGGTTAATTTCTGATGAATTCATCATGATGGGCTAACTGGCCTGTTTTCATTGTCATCGATCACACTTTACTGGTGCTCCGCCAGCGTGTCCCATTAGCGCAGGCGGGGTTACCATACCATTTTCATCCACCAAAAAAAAAAACAGGCTGACGGCCTGACCTGATGGAAAGTGGTAACCGTCTCCTATAGACATGAGCCCATGGACATAACAAAGTATACTGTTTTGCCCATGATACCCCTTATGCATTGCCATTTCTGAGGACTCAGGTGTTATTCCTTTATACCCTGTAAATTTACTGCCATATCCCACCCTTCAAACCGTTCATCGTCACATATCATCCCTCATTGGTGCCCCGCAGCGTATACCGATTCCGCAGGCGGGGTTACTATTTCATTATCACCTATAAAAAAAACCCTTCAAACCGGAACACAGCCATGCAAACAAAACTGCTTCACAGTAAAAACACGAATGGGGTAGAGATGCCCAGGCAAAAGACTTTTGTAGTCTCTGGTAAATAAATATTATACACCACTGCTGAGAACTATAGTGTTAGGCCTCCATATTATTCCTCTTAAATGTAAGCAAGTTATACTGGAGGAAGGGAATCTTTACTAAACCACGGTTTAATCTTTTTATATGCTGGATCAAACAACACTATTGCTAGCAATATAATACCTATAATTAAAATAATCAGGTGACATTCGCGCGGTTCTCTCTAAAAAATATTAATTATTGTTAAATTCGTCATGACCAACTGATCTGTAGGTGACGTACTATCATCTGTAATTTATTTGTTAATTATTTGTTTTGTTAATTTTTTTTATCATCATCATAGAAATCAGCACTTCAAATGGACACGCATTAGTATCAAATTAATATATTTGTCACTATACTCGAAGCCTCGATGCTTTTTGTAATAAAAAAAAAAGAAAAAACTAAAACACTTCTTAAAATATTTAATTTCATCAATATTAACATAATGCCAAACAAAAACTATATTACAATGATCTGGGTGTAAATAAAAAAAAAACATGAAACTAGGAAACTAAGCATATACAGAGTGAAAAATTGAATGATACATTTTACACGTGCGTTATAACTATATACTAAACGAAATAATACTAATTTAGTACTATATCTTTAAAATTAATATATTACAATCATTCTCCTGTTCCTTGACTTCATATTCGAAGTCAACTATTGACTTGTTAATAGATGTATTTGACGTATTTGATTCAGTCGATTTTTTCGGAGATAAACTGGGTTTGAATTGACCGATTTTAGTTTTAACAATATTTTTCTTTGATGTTCTCTTGATCTCGGCAGATTTTGACGTTGAATCTTTTTTGGATTCCAATTTTGAAATGGGACTATCTTTTTTAGCATCAATCGTTTTTGACGAAGTAATATCCTTTTTGTTCAGAATAGTTTTCGAAATATTTTTGTTTGTGGTCTGTTTTGATGATTCGACTAGTAGATCAGTATTATTTTTTTTGTTATCTATCTTTGAAATAGGACCGTCCTTTTTATTCTCACCAGCGATTGAGTTAGTGAGTGCAAGTTTTTTAACTGTAGTCATATTTGAAGTGGAAATACCCTTTAAACCATCAACAAGTAGATAATTTTTGGATGATGTATCTGTTTTCGTTGCAGTTTTAGACGGAGTATCATTCTTTTTGTTGGCAACATTAACATTAGCATCTTTTTTCGCTTCTGCATTCAAACTTGCTACTTTCCTTGTTTCAGTTTTAGTATTACTATGTTCGATGCCTGTTTTGAAGTTTTTATCTAGGAAATCTTTATAGGAATCATTGTAAGAGGGTGATTGCATAAGTGATTTATATTTAATTCTAGCTGCTTCCTCGTCTATAATAGGTTTAGTGGATGCTGGTGTTGCAGCTTTTTCAGTCTGTTTTTTACTGTTCTCCACAGTTTTGGCCATAGAGAAAGCATTGATAATTTTCGGCGACAAAACCGTTATATCTGTGTTGCGTTTCTTTAGTTTTCTATTAACATCAACATCTTCATCGTCATCCTTCTCTAATTTCCGTTTGTTGGAATTTTGCAAACTTTGTAAGGCTTTTGTTATTTGGTCGTCTGTCATGCTTTTGCTTGTTGTTACCTGAGGTTCAATTAGTGACGTCATCTCTTCATCTTCCTCATAGTTGGTGAGAACTGATGTCATTTCTAAAGCCTTCCCCACCATAATCTTCAGGGTGTCGATTTTAACTTTGGCAGCTTCTAACACTATTGATTCCATTAACGTTTTGAACTGTACATATAAATCTTTCTCGTCTTCTGTCACCACCTCTGTGCATTCGTAACTGGATGCTTGCGCTATGATTGGTGTTATGTGATATTTCTTGTATGTATCTGTTAGTGTGTACTTTTCACAATTGTGTCCATAATGTTGTTTATAATAATGAACTTGTATACCTGGAGAAATTAAAATTAATGTTGGTAGACATTTTAAAACAAAATCTTTAATATCTAACACCTTTATTCATAAATACTAAAATCTATTACAAACCTATTTTAGTACTATATAATACTGTTTTATCACTTTCTTTCAAATTGGGAATGCAGCATAAAAGAAAGAGACAAAACAGTTCAACAGCTAAAATAGGTTTGCAATAGGTTTTAGTTTTTATGAATAAGGGTATTACACTTTAAAGACTTTGTTCTTTTGTTAATTTTAATGAGGGGAGGGGGATTATTAGTAATTTATAGTATCAGTCCCATTGCTAGCTATACCCTGTCAGGTCGACCTCCAAGTCGTTATCCCTAGAAACCATCATGCTAAATTCCAGGTGCATTCATTACGATGGGCTAACTGACCTACTTTTTCATTTTCACCTATCACCCCTCACTGGTGTTCTGGGGGATTACCATTCCATTATCACCCATTAGGAAAAAAAACCCTTCCTCCGAGAAATCATCATGGTTAATTCTTATAGAATTGGTCACAATGGCCTTACTGATTTGGTTACATCCTCATCTATCATTTCGCAATGGTGAACCATTAGGGTATACCGGTAGCACAGGCTGGGTTACCATTCCATTATCACCTATTAAAAAAAAAACCCCACCTCCCGATATTAGTAACTAACCATTCATAGGCAAGTATATATTTGTGAAAAAAAAAAGGATCATACCTTTTGTAAACTCCTGTACCACGAGGCTGGATGGGCAGAAATGAGCTGTCCGACTGTCTGCAGGCTCACCGCTGGGCAGAAAAGTGCAACGATACGTTTGCTTCATGTTACACTTCCCCAATACTAGATATTTGATCTTTGTTTGGCTCTCCATATCATTTTTCCACGTCAAAAACTCTGAAATCAAAATTTGGTTAACTTAATCATCATCATCATAGTTCATCATCATCATCGTAGGTTCATCGTAGGCGTAATAACCACCGCGGTAAGTGCGAATTAGGTTTTTCCGTTATTTCTCGTATTAGTATCGGATTTTATTAATATTTCCACATTCTATATAAATTTTTCAATATATAATTTAACATTACTTGCCAACTGCTTTAACCGGAGGGGGGTGGGGGGAGCTAATATGATGATGATGGTGATGATAATGACCCCAAGAAATAATATGGAAATGGAACAATTACAGATGTATCTTTGTTTCTCTTTCATGTAAAAGCTACTCAACAGATTTGAATGAAATTTGGTATACGGGTAGACTATACATATCTAAGTACATAACATATCTAAGTTACAAGTTTGTAATAGGTTTGTAATATATTTTATATAATACATTAAATACAAGTATATAGTATCTTATGGTTGTAACTTTGTTTTTTTTATACCACTAAGGTGGCAAGCAAGCATACGGCCCACCTGATGGTACGCAGCCTATGAACGCCTGCAATATCAGGGTTATCACGCAAACCTTGCTAACCCTAAAGGAACCTCTTCAGCACTTTTTTGAAGAACCCAATGCTGTAGTCTCTTGGATACCTTGACAGTGAGCTCATTTTATAACCTGAGCGTACATGAGAGGAAACATCTCTTTAACCATGTTAGGTACGGGGGGAAAGGGATTGTTAATAATGGAGACTGAGAATCCTATTGCTAGCAATATACCCAACCAGGTCGACCTCCTCGCGGTTCCCCCTGGAGACTATCATGGTTAATTCCTGATGAATTCATCATGATGGGCTAACTGGCCTGTTTTCATTCTCATCTATCACCCTTCACTGGTGCTCCGCCAGCGTATCCCGTTAGCGTAGGCGGGATTAACATACCATTTTCACCCATCAAAAAAAAAAAAACATGCTAGGTACTCCGAACGTATGCGAACCATTTAGGTGTTATTGTGAAATAATAAATTTTTGTCTTTACTTTTTTTATACTAATTCACGCGGGCGTAGCCGCGGTAAGTAGCTAGTTACCGATAATAAACTTACCATTCATTGTTGGAAAGAACATGCTATCAACGCCATCGCTGTGTAGCCCTGATATGTGCAAATCAAACACTTGTATCGTGCTGAATCCTTGTGAACAACCCGTGCACACATAGTTTGTAATGAAGCCAGACTCATGCTCTATGGTGTCGCTGCATACGTGGATATCATTGACGTGCACTTTCTTATTACACTTCACGCACAATTCCACTCGTATTGGCTTTATCAAATCCGGCGAGCTTGATGGACTGTAACAATAATTTTTTTTTTTTTTTTTTACAACACAGGGGGCAAACGAGCATGCGGCTCACCTGATGGTAAGTGACTACCGCCGCCCATGATCACCCACAACACCAGCGGCATTGCAGGTGTGCTGCCGGCCTTTTAAAAAGGAATATACTCTTTTCTTGAAGGTTATGTTGTCGTATCGGTTCGGAAATACTGCTGCTGGAAGTTGATTCCAAAGAATGGTTGTGCGTGGAAGAAAGTGCCTTGAAAAACGCACGGTGGAAGACCGCCACTCGTCCAGATGATTGGGATGAAACTTTAGTTTGTGGCGGGTTGTACGGTGGTGAAAATCAGCAGCAGGTATCAATCCGAACAATTCCTTAGAACACTCCCCATGATAAATTCGGTAGAAGATGCACAGAGATGCAACATCTCTGCGTAGTTTCAATGGGTCAAGTCGGACAGTAAGGCGTTGACTATCGATAATTCGAGCCGCCCGACTTTGAATGCGGTCTAACGGAAGGAGTTGGTACTGTGGCGCTCCTGCCCACAGGTGAGAACAGTATTCCATATGCGGCCTGACTTGGGCTTTATATAATTTCAGGCGGTGTTCTGGCATGTCGTCTCACCCTATTGAGCACTTCTAACTTTTTGGAAGCTATCTTAGCCTTCTCCTCCAGATGACCGCAAAACTGGACGTCGCAAGATATATCAACGCCCAGAATTCCTAGACTCGACTTTTTATCAAGGGAAGTGCCCTGAAAGTGAGGAGATACGACAAACGGCGTCTTTTTTGCGGTAAACGCGCAGACTTGTGTCTTTTTGGGGTTAAATTGGACAAGATTGTGTTCACCCCAGATCGAAACTTGATGGAGTGAATTTTTATATTAGCCAATTTTTTTAATGAATAATAATGAAATGGTAACCCCGCCGTTGGGGGGGAAAGGGATTGTTAGCAATGGAGTTTGACAGTCCCATTGCTAGCAATATGCTTTATTAGGTCGACCTCCACGTGGTTCCTCCTGGAAACCATCATGAACAATTGTTGTTGAATTTGTCATGATGGGCCAACTGACCTGCTTCATTCATTAATTCAGTGAAGGATGATAGGTGAGAACCTATCATCCTTCACTGGTGCCCCGCCAGCCATTATTACATATTATTCCACTATTACCCATTAAAAAAAAAAACCCCCGCCGTTGCTAACGGTATAGGCTGGCAGGGCACCAGTTAGGGGTGCTAGGTGAGAATGAAAGGACAGGTCAGTTAGCCCATCATGATGAATTACATCTGGAATTCAGCACAACGGTTTTCATGGGGAACCACATGGAGGTCAATCTGACAGGACATATTGTTAACAATGGAACTATACCGTACTGTATGTCAGCCATAAACTGTCCATTGTTGTACATAGGACGTTTTTTGGGAGGGGTTTTGACACAGACACTGCTGCCCATCCCTCAACCACTAGATTTTTTTAGTCACTTCCTACAACACCCATGGGAAAGGAAGGGATGACGCATTCTATGCCGCAGCATGAAGTCCCTCCACATGGCATATAATAAGTATTTTTTACTACTTACAAAAACTTTTTTTAATAAAACGTAATCTAACTCTTTATACTCCTCTCCATCCAAAGGTTGCCTGAAGGAGATAGCTTTTAGCAATAAAATCACCCATTTTTTAAGTTGATCTTTTCTTGTTATTGTTTGTATCTATAATAAGATTACTAATGTAACCTTTTGGAGGAAACAATAAAAAGTATCTTGATCCTGTTAAATTCATCACAATTGGCCAACCAACTATCATACATTGGTATTTTAATGGAGGAGGAAGGATTGCTTGTAATAAGGACTAGGAACCCTATTCCTAGCAATATAAACTATCTGATTTAATTAACACAGTTCCCCATGGAAACCATCATGGTTAATTATTGTTGAATACATCATGATAGGTCAACTGACATGTTTCAATTCTTTGTGCTGTCCTCCTGGTATGGTAAGTAGGTGTAGGAAATAATAAACAATAATATGGCACAATGCGACTCACACGACCACCGGCTCGAACTTCACCCAGAGGAGTGGCTGGAGCCACTTGGAGTAGCTTGCAGTCTAAACTTTAATGAGTACATCACATCTACCTAGCATATCTTACTGGTGAACTGTGAGCATTTTTTAATGGGTGATAACGGAATGGTAACCCTGCCTGTGCTATTGATATATTCTAGGAGTGCACCAGTGATAAGTGATAGAGGAAAATGAAACCAGTCAGTTGACTCATTGTGCAAAATTCATAAAGAATTAATCAAGATGATTTTCAGGGGGAATTACATGAAGGTTGATGTTACAAGATACTATATATAGAGCTGTTCTTTTTAATAGATGATAGTGGAATAGTAACCCTGCCCATCCCAACTGGCAGAGCACCAGTGAGGAAGAATAGGTATAAATGAAAGGCAGGACAGTTAGCCCATCATGATGAATACACCAGGAACTCGTGGGGAAAGGGATTGTTAGTAATGGAGACCATTGCTAGCAATATGCCCAACCAGGTCGTTTTTCTCGTGGTTCCCCCTGGATACTATCATGGTTTATTCCTGATAAATTCATCATGATGGGCTAACTGGCCTATTTTCATTCTCACCTATCACCTTTCATTGGTGCTCCACCAGCGTATCTCATTAGCACAGGCGGGGTTACCATACCATTTTCACCCATCAAAAAAAATAACACCAGGAAATCAGCACAATGATATCTAGGGAGGATATGGAGGTCTACTTGGCAGGGTATATTGCTAGCAATGGAATTGGTATCCGCATTACTAACAATCCCTTTCTCCTGCAATAGGGCTGTTAAATCCCCATTACTAACAATTCCTTTCAATATAACGTTGGTACAGGTGGAGTTACCATTCAATTATCATCCTTAAAATTGGTACGCCGTAAATATAAATTAATAGTACAGCTGACTTCACTATATTCTGGATTAGTAAAAAATATTCAAATACAAAAATATACTAACACTTTGCGTCCTTTGCTATTGACACAATGGTGTTTCTGTATATGTCTATACGCCGAGAAGTACACATCAAATAGCTTCTCGCATTTAGGGCACTGAAATTCGATTCGACGAACATCGCTCAATTTCGCCGGTGAAATTACGGGACTTTTTTTTTGTTCTGCAACTTCAACTGTCGGCTTACTCGTTATTTTAGGCTCTGTCGTCTTATTTTGAACCGTTTTCATATCTTTCGCTCGCACAGTATTCGCTTCTGGTTTAGGCTTCGATAAATTGTGTATGCAATATTGGTGGGTTTTTAGAGCTTGCGCGCTCAATAACTTTCGGTCGCAAATGTTACATTTGTACATTGGCCGTCTGAGTTTCAGCTTCGCTGGCGTTTTGGCACCCATTCTAAAGCATTGGATATAATTATTAAGTAGAAAATTTTATTTTAATAAATAAAGCGGTAAGAACGTAATGACGCGCCCCGCATGACAGTTTCTGTGAGTGTTGCCAGCTTCAGATCAAATTTATCGGGCTAAAATTGTTTAAAGACAATATTAAAATAAAATAGACTCAATCAGTAAACGTATTAATGTGAAAGCGACAAGTATATTTGTCTAAAATATAGTCTCAGTATTAAATAACAGAATTCTAGAAACATACTATATTTAGACACTAAAAGCCAAAAAGTCCATACTATAGTATATTTTTTCTACTGACTAGAAATTATTTTCATTTCTATTTCAATAAAAAATTCTGTAAGATAAGTGAATATTTGGACATGAAAGCTAGACTATTTCGAGAAATATAGAGTTGGCAACACTGCTAACAAAAAAAAGGAGTACTTTTTTTATGGGTGAAAATAGTATGGTAACCCCGCCCGCCCTAACGGCATACGCTGGCGGAGCACCAATGAAGGGTGATAGATAAGAATGAAAACAGGCCAGTTAGCCCATCATGCTGAATTCATCAGGAATTAACCATGATAGTTTCCAGGGAGAACCGCGAGGAGGTCGACCTGGTTAGATATATTGCTAGCAATGGGATTCTCAGTCTCCATTACTAAAAATCCCTTTACCCTCAAAAAAAAAAAAAGAATACTAGTTAGTAGTAGGCTGCAGATAAATATATTCTCAGTCACAGTTTAGATAAAGGAATATTGTACTTGAGATAGAGGATTAAAGAATTTAAGATTTTTCATGTTCTTTAGGCATTTATTTTGTTTACACCAGTATCATGTAGTTTTAATCGCAATCGCAAATGTTTATTCTTATAGAAAAACTCAACCTCGCAATTGTTAGTGCAATGTTTAATATTATAGAAAATAATGGGGAGTAGTTCAGTTGAGCTATTATGATAATTTACTACAGGATATAACCCATGGAAATCATAAGGGAATTGAGTTGGGTTAATCTGATATTGCTATTATAATCTGTTTTAATAAAACTTAATAAAAATATAACAAAGATATTTTGAAATTATCATAGAAATATTTTTTGAATGAAAATGCAGCAAATTGCAAAGTTTAATCGATAGGTAGGTTTAAAAAAAAAAAAAAGACTAGTAGGATTTTTATTAGTACTCTTTTTGAATATCATCCTTTTGTACAATGTGACCTGACGACTTGTTCAAAATTCCAAGGTGCAAAAAAAAACTTTATTTGTTATATTTTAAAAATTATGTATTTAATAAAAAAGAAATTAATTTTCTACACTCTGTACACCCCACAATTTAATTTCATCTTCACATGCTGTCAATAAACAATTTTCTGTTGGATGATGACTGAGGGAGACCATTGGTTTATTTTTTGTGTGAACCAATTTTTGAGTACAACTACTGCTTATCAGGTCCCAATAAAAGATCTCCCCTGTTGCCGACCCTGATATTATATGACTGTCCTTTTCATTCACAGCATTTTCCAACAAATAATCTTTACTTTCATGCCCCTTGAATGTGTTTAGTAACTCTCCAGAATCTTTATCAAACAATTTAATTGTGCCATCTGAACAGCTCAGAACATAACACTGGCCATCGTGTGTCATACTGCCATAAGTAATAACTTCCCCAATATAATCAGAAATCATCTTTCCAATTCTTATATCGTACAATCGAGCATGACAATCCACTGAGCAAGTTAAAATTTCATGATCTGTCACTTGTATCGAAGTTATAGTGTCTTTGGCATCCTTCAAAACTTGTACAGGTTCTTGCCTCTGACTGACAACATCCCAAAAAGCGACTGTATTGTCTATGGACCCAGAAATTGCCATTGTGGATTCTTCATTGAACTTAACACATGTTATAGAGCTGGCTTGTCCACGGTACCTTCTTACTGGTTGTCCGGTAGTCACATCCCATAGGATTACAGATTTATCTGCACTTCCTGAGATTATGTGACTGCTGTCACAGGATCCGGTGGCATCTAACACTTCATTTGCATGACCTCCATATGTTTTTAACAAAAGCTGCCGATGTGGGTTCCAGAGTTTTATTTTCTTGTCTGCACCGCATGTAAGGCAGTATGTTCCATCTATGTTGAACCTTACAGCTCGTACAGCTTGCTGCTTGCATTTTATTGTCGCTAATGTTATTAATTCAGCCATTAATGTTAGGTATTTATTGTTACAAATATTTTGTTTTTATAACATTTTGGTACAAAGACAAAACACAAGATACCTAGTTATAGGTTATAAGAACATTCAGTATTTTATTCTTTTTATTCAAAAACTATAAAAAAAAAATTATATCGACCCTAAGTATTTATATAATAAAAATCTTTTTATAATAATGATTAGTTCTAGGTAATTGTAACACTATTTATTGTAATGACTTTTATTTCTTTTTTTATTTATCGATGGCAATTGGTCATATGATAAGTATTTAAATATTCAATTGAAAAGCACAAATTTGTAATTTTTTAAATAAAATAGATAAATATTTTGATTCGTGAATACCATTACGGCCGATAAACAAACAACTATTAAAATATGTTATTTGTCACTGTCATCTGTCACATTACACAATTAATAGTATCAATTTATCCACAATGAGAAAGGCAAAGGAACTAAGTCATATAGTCTGATCTTCAATAAAAAGTTTGAATATTCATGTTTTAACGTAGCAAAATTAGCATATCTTGTTTAGAACTATGAAATTTATATCTATAGATGACATGCAACTTGAAAAAATCCATAGATTAAGAATAGTATTTACAGAACAAAAAAATAGGTAATTATAAATTACTAAATTACTACTACGATGAGGGTTATCAAGATCGTTTTTTGATTTTTACTCTATTTGCCATAAAGCAAACGATAAAAAAAAAACAAGATGTGATTTCAGGGCAAACCGTCTATTTTTGCTTCTTTTACACCATCTTCTAATTTTTGCCTTTATTTATATATTTTGTTGTATTTATATACCGCTATACAGTTTACAAATATTACATACGTCCAAACAAATTACGAACATTTCTACAAGCCATTTCACTTTTTTCCAGGTATTAGAAAAAATTCCGAACATTGTCAAAAAAAAAAAGAAATCTATAATCTGATAATAGTTTCAGTAACATTTACTAGATGTAGATAGTGTTTTAAAGGTCTTTTAATATAAATTTTTGATAATGCCAGATTCGGCAACATTGGGACGCTGTCACTTACTATCATGTTATTATGTCAATCAACTGTTAAAGTGTCAGATTCATCACTGAATTTTCCCTATCAACTATACAATTGTCCATTCTAATTTTAATTTTGGCTAATTTACGTGTTTATTTTTGTTACGTATCTTTTTTATTGTGTCTGTAATTGTCTTACTTGGGTAGTTTTCATACTGATAATACTTTATCCATCCTCAAACGTACTTTAGAAATTAGATGGTAAATTCGAGAAATTTGGTCAATAATCTTGTTTAAAGTCAGTTTTGCATTATGTTTACTTCTTCGATTATCCTATAGGGTAAATTAGTAAATTGGTTTTGTAAAATCGTGTTCCATTATTCGTTATTTTTGTTATAATCGTTCGGTTATGAGTAATATTATCTCCTACGATTAGCTATTCGGTAGTAGGAAATCGGTCTAATATGAGTTTTGTTTGCTTAGGTATTGTGTTTAAAATTTTCGGTCAGTAAGGCAAAAAGCCGACCTTGCCCGTCATTCGAGTTAGTCTTCAGACTATATTGTGAAATATTATCATTATTTTATTGAACTACTTACTTGAAAGCAGCCATTTTCGATTTGACTGTATTTTTTTTTTGTGTTAAATAAGCTATGGTATTGTGTAGTAGGTGATGTATCTATATTAATTTGATAATAAAAAACCGAAACCAAACGAAAACTATAAACATTAAAGTGAAAACTAGCTGAAATGGATATTGGTTATTTTTTTTTTATTGTTGATGTTTTAGTACACCTGGGTGACTATGCCAACCTCATAGGAAATGTCTGAAAGTCAGTTTTGTCAATCGTCAGAGACTCCTTTACCCACAGATATAGGCTTCTGGCATTGCAACCGCCAGGTTGACTGAGTATTAATATTACCATCTAATGGCATACCCTCTAGAATTAGTTGTTTTAGGTTGCAATTCTGACCACATTCCACTGGTAAATTTAAGTCTTCTATTTTATTACTATATATACAATTTGGTAACTGTTTAACTTCCATAATAATATTAATGGTTATATATGTATTTCCATACTATTTGTTACCACCAAGGTTATTTTACAAAAACTTAGTACATCAACATATGGAAGTAGTATCTGGAATCCACATAGTATTCTTATGAATTTACATTGTTATCTCAATATTACATCATGATAACTTCTAACTAAACATACTGATTTTCAGCTTTATTTTTTTTAAGGATTATGTTAATAAAAGTATATATAATAATATATTACGTTGGTAAAAATGGGAACATAATTAAAGATAATGATTAAACAAATCAAGGGAAATATCTGAAAAGCCATTTTTTAAATTTAAATACTATACTTAATATTCTATTTTTAAAATATAAAATCTAAATAATCTAAAAAGTATAATAATTAAAATATTTATTGACATAAAAAAAACATATAACAATTTTATTATAACAAAAAAAAAAAGAAATATAACAATTATACATTTTGTTCCCAAGACTTCACACTAGCATTCCCTGTGTCGACAAGTCATGGGCCCTCTTCTGCTTACAAATCTTAAAATTCTTTTAAGTATATAATAATAGTCATATTAATTAGTACCTTTGTGACAATGCCAAAATTATTTTAAATTTAATGGACATTATTTAAACCATTGTAAACCTGTGTATAAAATAATGATTAATAAAGTCTTTTTATTATTATTATTTATTTATTACATCCACTGGGTGAGCCTTACAGTCTTCCAATACGCTCACCCAGGAAAGCATGAGTACAATAACATATAAAAAGGAATATTACACAAAAATATTAAACAAAAAAATAATTTAAAAATATTTTACTGAAACAAAAAACGTCTGAACACAAATCTCTATATCCAACAATAATTTTAAACTGTATTTTAATACATTATGGTTAGTACTAGAAATCTTAATATCTATGTTAGTTTAGTATAGGCCTCCTCCATTTGGTTCCATTTCTCTCATATTTTTGCTATAGGTATTTATCCAATTGTTCTTTGCTATTTGTTTAATATCCTCGGTCCACCTTTGTTTTGGTCTGCCAACATTTTGTTAATAGAATAGGTCTCTTTAGTATTTATACTGGGAAACATGACCAGCCCACTTTCATTTCAGTTTTAGTGCATTTTGTAAAGCATATGTTAATTGTGTCCTATCTCTTATATCAGGACTTTTTACTTTTTCTATATTTCAAAGTTGAAGAAAACTCTGTTGATTGTTTTTTTTGACACATTTATTTTATGTTTTATTTGTTTTGTGTATATTCAAGTTTGGCATCCATATGTGAGGCAAGTGTCCCTTACAATCTTTTTCAATTTTAAATTATAACCTCCTTTTAAGATTTCTTTGTGTCCAATATTTTTTCCATATAGTGGTTATGTATTGTCGCGCTCTATCCTTCTGTAATGACATCCAACTATAAGTTTTAGGTCGTCTTCCCCTCTTATTTGTTGGCGTCCTTTACTCTTACCATCTCTGGGATACCAGTCACTAGTTCTTTTGCACCATTTTTCTTGTGGTTCGTGGATTATGTGACTTGCCCATCTCCACTTTTGTTGGCCAATTCGGGTTCTTATATCTACAATTTTGGTTTTTTTCTCTTATTGTGCTACATACATCTTAATCTGCCCTGCTTCCTTACTCCTGTCAAGCTTCTTTTCATGGCTTTCTGGTAGCTTTCCAACATTTTTGCTGCGGTGTTTAGTATGTGCCCAGGTCTCATATACATAGGTAACATGATCATTTCTTTGACTCAAAACGGGAAATTAATTTATTTAGGTCAACTAACAGGTAGTCAATAAAAACACTATAAAGATTCAGAAAAAGTTAGCTAAAAAGTTAAGAATAAAAAAATATACGTGATAAATATAAACATAACTAAACATTTTGTTTAATTATATTTATATTTATGGAAAAAACAAATTTGTTTTAATATAACTGTTGGAATTTGTATTTTATATTGCAAAACCACCTTTTAATTTCACAATATATTTATTTTAATTATATTTTTACACAAAGACTTGCACATTGGACGATTGTTGTAACGGAAGAGAGTGAAGGGAATTTTAGAGTTGCCATAGTATAAAATTAAATTTAGTGTTTCCAACAATAACTGATGAAGATTTTTAAATAAGACTGAAACTCTTGGCACGTTTTTTTATATTCACCTTAATTATCGACATCGCCTTTAGAATTGAAATTTGAAATTGAGGATTCTCAGATGTTTACGATTTGTTCATCATCTTATTTTCGCATATGGGGTCAGCTAAGCCGTTGCACGTCGACCCATATGGATCTTTTGTGCGTCCCCCCTGCCTTGTACTATCATTTCATAGATCCCATGTGTTATCCTAACGATATCCCGCGGTTTAAGATATCTGTAGTTCCCTGGTTCTGGATAAGCCGTTCCCAGTTGACTCATACGCATACTTGCCAACGAATCGCAGTTGTACATAAAGTGTTCATCACATTTGTTCATCATAGAAAAAAGCTCTTTTTGCTGGAGCATTTGTAGTAGGTAAACATAAAATATATTTAATTAAAATAAAAAAGTTTTCATGCTGTAGACTGTTGGCGTGAAAGTATTTGAATGCTTTGACCGAACGGGTTTCCGTGGAAACATTTAGATTATTCCATTCGAATGTGATGTACATATCCAGCTCCAGATATTCACGGCTGGTTCTTTTCTAGGCCGTAGAGAGTGCAAAAAGTTTTTTTTTTTTTTTTTGTGTTTAGTTCTGAAGTCGATGGTTGCTGGATTGGTAGTGTTGATTTTGAAGATTTTTCCTTTTAATAATGTTTTCTCCAATTCTATAGACACATATTTCGAACTGGTTTAATCTACTCTTTTTCTGATAATTATTTTCAATTAAATTGTAGAATTTTGCAAAATCGATGTACTGCCATTACTTAAGGTTTTGGAACTATCAGCAAACATATTGTTAGTTGCTTCGAACAAATGCTCTGGGAAGAAATTTCTGTTCACTGGCCACACACCAGTTCTCCTGAATTCATTACAAATATTACCAATTATGGCAGTTTTTTTTATATATATCATTATTGTTGACGCCAGGCTTGAGATGTCCTGACGTTAGGGGGAAATGGACTGAAAAGGCACTTATTTGGTGTGGATGTGGCTGAGATGCGCGGATGAGCTGAGTAGAGAGTAAACTCCCTGAGCTGAACGTATGAGCTGGATTGATGAGCCGAGCTGAATGTACAGTTCTTTCCACGACACGTTATATACATTCGAGTTAGACGGACGCGTTGAAACGGTCACCATTTTGGGGTATGGGGGGGGGGGGGGGATGTGGCATGCCCAGCCATCTCCAGTTTACTCCCTTAACACCAGCTTGCTGGGGTTAATAGTGCATTCCGCGGGTCTCTTGGCGAGTTGGGTCGAAACTTTGAGTTAATATTTTCCCGGGTTTGTTATAATTGTTGTTGTTTGACAAATTACAAGATCTTAATGGTTTTTCTACATGTTTTGGGTTATGACTATAGTTTTTTC